CATAATTACAAAAAAAAAAAAGGAACAACCCAAATGTCCAGCAAGTAAATGGATAAAATATTGCATGTGACCAATTTGTGAATCTCAGAATCATTATTCTGAGCAAAGGAAGCTGTATGATTCTGTCTATATGAAATTCAAGGAAAGATAAAACAACTCTCTATTGACGGAAATCATTATCAATGATTGCCTGGGCCTAGGGTAGTGTTATTAATTGTAGAAATAGATGAAGGAACTTTGGAGTAATGAAATTCATTATATTGACTGTGATTGGTCATTACACAAGAATGTGTATTTGTTGAAACTCTAAATTGTAGATTGAAAATGGTTGCATTTTGTGTTATATGCAAATTATTGCTCAATAAATTTGAGTTTTTAAAAGCAAGGAAAACTGAAAAATCTAAGTAAAAATAGAGTTTAGGCCACTATGGGGCAAAACTAAAAAATGTATAAAATCTGGGATTTTTTAAAGTGATGAAGGATTATTGATGACACATGAGTAGCAGAGTGTCATTCTCTTCAGTCTTGCTCACTTTCCACCTTGTGATAACAACAGGGAGCAGGGAACATAATAGTAGAATGGAGATTAAAATTTGAAGCTGTGTTTGAATAAAATAGCATCTTGTCACCACTGTTATGCCTATCAGTGTCTGCTTAATTGTCCATAGGCATCTGAGGAGATTCAACTTGCTGAAGTCTGATGAACTTTTGTGGAATTGTGCAGTACTAGGTAAATGAGAACTGAAATGCTAGTGTTGTCATAAGCTTGTTCCTTGGTTTTAGGAAAGTTGAAAATAGTTAAGTGAGACACTGAGAGGTAAATTGACTGGTAAGTCAGGCAAATGGCGTAGCTATAGTATTTGAATTTCAGCAAGATATTTGAATGATATCTCTCATGATCTTGAGGGTAAGGTCAAGAAATAAGCAAGATAGAATTTAACTAGGTTCATACTGTATTAATGATTATATGTAGTGCTATCAAACTGTAAGTCAGCGTTTCTGTCCTCGTTCTTCTGTTGAAGAATCCTAAATGGGGCCATTATTAGCATGCTGATCTTTTTTTTTTTTTTTTCTTAAAGAGGCATGTGTTTTTATTTATTTATTCGTTTGTTTTGTTTATACAAGCACTGGGTACAGTCAGAAGCGCAGGAGGGTGAGAGAATTCACCAGAGCCAGAGCAGGGAGCAGAGCAGGCAGAAGGACCGAAGTACACTGCTGAGGGGAGCAGCGGGCGGCAGGAGAGGTCTGCGCGCCATGTGGGACCCTCCTCCGGTGGCCGGGGAGCAGCCGGGGATCGAACCGGCGCCTCAGAGGCTGCGGGCAGCTTCGCAACCCAGCGCTCAACCGCCGCGCCACCAGGGAGGCCCTAGCATGCCGATCTTAAAAAGCTTTTTAGTGGGGGCCTCCATGGTGGCACAAGGGATTAAGCACCGCCCTATGAAGCAATCCACAGCCTCTGCAGCACAAGTTCGATCCCTGGCCGGCCAGGGAGCAACCCACATGGTGCAGCAGACCTCTCCTGTCTCGCCCGCTGCTCCCCTCAGCAGTGTACTTCAGTCAGTCTGCCTGTTCTGTTCCCCGCTCTGTCTCTGGTGGATCCTCTCACCCCCTGCATCTCTGGCCTATACCCCAGCTCTTGTATGCATAAATAAATAAACCTTAAAAAATAAAAGCTTTTTAGTGGAAACTAAAATGTTTATTAGTTTAAATTATAAGCCATGTCTACAAAATATAAAATCTTATTTCCAAAAAGAGAAGTACACAAATGTAGAATGGATAGAATATTTGTATAGACAGTGCATGATGAAAAACCCTCTGGAGTTATAGCTGAACATAACTGTAATGGACTCAGTGGCATGACTGCAGCTGCCAGGCTAATCACAGTAATGACTAATTTGGTAATTTTTTTTTTTTTACAAACCCCCCCATAGAAAGATAAAGATGCACATCACTGGCTTGTGTTGATCAGATCAAACCTAGGGCGTAAGATTTACTTTGAGGGGCCTCCCTGGTGGCACAAGGGATTAAGTCTCAGTGCTATCAAGCTGTCACCAGCCAAACTGCAGCATGAGTTCAATCCCTGGCCAGGGAGGTGACTCACATGGTGCAGTAGACCTCTCCTGTTTTGCCTGCTGCTCCCCTCAACAGTGTATTTCAGTAGATCGCCTGTTCTGTCTGTGTACCTCTGGCCTACACCCTAGCTCTTGTATGCATAAATAAATAAAATAATTCTTGAAAAAAAATTTACTTTGAGGACATCATATTATGCTCTAGAAAGAATGTTGAAAAGCTAAATCTTGGAAAGAACTTGAAATGAGAATAAATTTAATCAGATGATTTCCTAGCTTTAAAATTAAGTAATTCTGTAAGTGGACATTTCTTAAGGAGAAAAAACCTATCAAGAGGCTGTGATATTCATTTAGTTTATGACATGTTTATTATTTCCTGGTTCTTTTACAAACCTGTAATCTCCCCATAACATTTTAGAAAGATAAGAGGGAGGTGCCAATTTAATTGTTCTAAATATTGGGTAAACACCTATTTCATTTGTAGCAAAATAAAGTTGATTTATTCTTGTTCTTTTCCCTATCCTCAACAAGTTATGTGTTTGACATCCTCCATTATAACTGGTTGGTACTTATGAAATTATTTTAATATCAGCCTATTTAGAATTATTTAGGGTAGTAATTACTCTGGAGCATGTTATGTAGGAATTGGGGTAAGATACTCATTCATCCAGCTGGGGGATTTGAACCCCATACCTTTCCAACCTTCTGTTATACAGACTTGGATTTTTACTCTTTTGCTACTTTTACTACAGACAGAGGGAATTATGAAATGAAATAGAAAAGAAGGCTGTAAACAGTAAAAGATGATATGGTGGCAGTGTCTTAAGTTGCATCTATAAGCAATTATGGTCTGTAAGAGATCGATGCTATTCAGTTTCTCCAGGGTTGTATCACTACCTCAGAATTATATATATATCTTGTTAATTATCATACATTCCTAGTCAGAAATTTTCTCTCGCTAACCTTCCTGTTACAGTTCTATCTACTTTATTCTTTCTAACAAATTTGTTGAAAAGATTGACACCATGGGCCTCCCCAGTGGTGCAGAGGTTGAGCGCTGGGCTGCGAATCTGCCTGCAGCCCCTTCAGTGCCTGCCGGTTCGATCCCCGGCCGCCTGTGAGGGTCCCACATGGCCCGCAGACCCCTCCTCCTGCGCACGCTGCTCCCCTCAGGAGTGTATTTCAGTCAATCTGCCTGTTCTGTTCCCTGCTCTGTCTCTGGTGAATCCTTGCACCCTCCCGTGCTTCTAACTGTACCCAGTGCTTGTATAAATAAAATAAATAAATCTTTAAAAAGAAAAAAAAAGATTGACACCATCCATCAAGAATACTTTTACCTTCCCTTATAACTTTGTCATGTCTCCATATTTTTATGTTTGCCACCCATTTTTTGCTGTTGTGCTGTTATTTTTCATTTCAAAGGGGACAGAACCTCTTTTTAAAAAAGAGGCACCTTTTTTTTCTGTGTACCGGAACACTGTGTGTGTACCTTCTCTGTGTACCAGATCACTAACTGAAGCACTAAGCTCCACCACCAGCATCATCACCACTTACCAACCTTTCTTCCTAATGAAGACAAGGTCTCTCCATCTTGAAAAAGCTTTTGATTGAGATCAAAAGTTGAGAAAAAGTTCCCCGTCTTACCTTTCTATGTCACTGCAGAACTTTTCAAGCAAATAGGGCCTATACTTGACAACACATTTTCTTTTAGAAGAAGAATGATAGTGTAATGAAGTAGAACACTGGGTTTGAAGTCTTCACAGGGTAATCAGATCTCAGCAGATGCTGTGAAGGAAATAAACAGTGCGAGTTGAGAGAATGATTGGAGAGCAAGGGGTTATTTTGTAGAAATAGTGATTTTGTAGAAATGATTTTGTCTATAAAAGATTTCAGAATCTTTTGGAGAATGAGGAAGTTTAAATGAAGAACATATAAATAATAAACTTAACTACAAATCTTCCAGGTGTTTACATAATTTTGCTTATACCATTTGGATTTGAAATTCTCATTTTAAGGCAAAACTTACTTCTTTATGATCAAATCTCATTAGTCAAATTTCAGAAGTGTCATACCTTTTCTCTCCAAAATTAAATGAAGGAAAGTAACCTTAACTAGAACAGCATGTCCATGTATCCCATTGTAGTTGAGTCAATGGACAATATTGCTTACCACATGCCAGGCACTGTACTAGGCACTGGGGATAACTGGAAATAAACTAGACACAGCCCTTCCCCTCACTTCTTTAGAAGCAGCACGAATGATTTAAACTTCTCCACTTTAAAATTGATTCACTGTGGCCATTATAGAGGAAGTTTGTTCCTCAATAGTTTAAATAACTTATTTTAAGAATATATTTTCCCTAAAAATAATCTTACTTTATCCACTAAACTTCCATATGCAAGTGGAGTTTACATTCTAAATAGGAAATGAACATAGGCATGTGGGGAAAACAATACATGAATCAAGCTATTTTACAATAACGAAGCTGAACAGTGAAGGATAACTTTCAGCTGAGTTAATCAGATTTAATGTTCAATCTTAAAGTATAGCTATGAATAGACAAAGAACAGAATGAAAGCTAATTACTGTGGTGTAGGCTTGGGAGGGGAGCATTGATCTCAGGTGGGATTAAATATCAAGGTATATTTAAAGGACAGATAAATAGGCTTGACTGAAATGAAAGGTTTGTATTGGTAAATAGTAAAAGATAAAGTCTTTTAATAAAAAGATTTGATTGTACATTAATGTGTTCCTATAATCCTAAATTCATTTATAGCCTATTTTAATATTATGTAAAGGCTTTATCACAATGTGCAGTTTACAATTGTATCATGATTCTAAATCAGTTTATTTATACCCCTAAATATGTTCTATGGATTTCAAGGCCAGTCTTTAGTCTTACTCAGGTTAAAATGATGTTTTGTTTTTCAGTTACTTACACGCCAAGTCAATCATCCACAGAGACCTCAAGAGTAATAGTATCCTTCCTGAAATTTGTCTGCGAAGTTTGAAAACATCCTGACTTTTCTTCTGCATTTTGTCTTCACATTGTGTAAAAACACTTTTCGTGCTAAATTTGATATGCTATAAACAGAATTTATACATGGGTTTGCATGAGAACATAGTAGAGCAAGGTACTACAACCTGCCTTGGGTTTCTCAATGATTAACGTTGCCAAAATATCTATCAAGTCCTTATGATAGCAGGACAGTTTTTGATTATTTATGCTCTTTCAGCTATAAAACAATAGTGTTGTAAATCAGCATTACTTCAATAAATGATTTTTTAAAAACTGATAGTTTCGTAGCTATCTACTAACTTAATTCAGCCCTCCAAATTTGCTCTCCCTAGTTGAGATACAATTGAAAGCTCCAAAGTACATAACAGTGAGGTGAGAAAAGCAGCTTTACTTTTCCCTAAGTCTGGATTAAGATCCTGTCTTCACTTTCTTGATTGCCCTGAGGGGCCTTCACAGCTTCCCCCACATGTAAAATCAGCCAGCACAGTTTTGGGGTCTCCCATAAAGGGAAAGCCTCTCACCTCATCCTGCCACATTTCAAGCCCCCAAAACTCTTAAATGTAGATCATATAGGCCCTACAGAATTAATTTTTTGAACAGGTTTATAACTTTAAGAGGAGTTACAAAATACTATACCTTTTTAAAGAATAGCATATTTCAGAATTAGAGAAATTAGATCTCTACCTAAAACTTTCATAATGCTTGCTCTGATAGGAAAAGGAGAGCTATTATTTTCCTTTACTTAACTACACCTCAGATATTTTTCTTCATGAAGACCTCACAGTAAAAATAGGTGATTTTGGTCTAGCCACAGTGAAATCTCGGTGGAGTGGGTCCCATCAGTTTGAACAGTTGTCTGGATCCATTTTGTGGATGGTAAGAATTGAGGCTATTTTTCCATTAATTAAACTTTTGGTCCCTGATAATGCTGCTTAGTTATTAGAAAGTAATTAAAGGTTTCAACTGCAGTATTTTCATCATTCCCAGTATTCACCAAAACCAATGTTAATCTCTATGTAAATAGATGTTAGTTAATGTTTTTCTTTATCTTTAAAAATAAAATTATGAAAGCAGTTTAAAACAGATATGTATGTTATCGACACTGTTTAAATTTTGTTCCAAATTTTCTCTTTGAGATATTTTGTGTTCAAAACAGTCTGTGCTCCCTGTTTTCAAAAGAAAAGGATGCAATTTAAGCAGGCATGATCTGCCACCATTAATATTTTGCCAAGAGAACTACTTTTAAGAGAAGAACCATTTCACAATCTTCTTTAAGCCTAGACTGGAAGGTTGCTTCCTGTAGACCAGAGAGAACTGTGCTTCTGGGGCAGCTGAGCGAGGAAAGACAAAAGAGGAAAAAGACAGAGACGGTGGATTACACTGTCAGCCTTGTGCTGGCCTGGACAGCTCTTTCTCTTTATTCCTATTTCTATTTTGTGAAAAAGAAGAAAGAGACATTCTAGAACAGGGAACTCAAACTCCTGTATAGTTGCTGCAGTAGGCTGTGAAAAGGACAGTCTGTAAGCCAGCAGTTCTCAACCGCATCCCCACCACCCTCACGGCAGTTCCCCAAGGTTGGCCTTGAGACCAGATTTTCTTCACATCCTTCAGACAGAATAATGCATCCCAACCAGTCGGATGCCAAAGCAAACAGGTACTGCTGGATTAGCTGGTGCTGGGAACCCTGTCAGTCAAAGAAAATCTTAGTACTATCCTCCTCACCAGATGTGTCTTTTAAAAATGGATGATTGGAGTAACATCTAGTGGTTATTTTGTTATTTAACAAATATTTTGACAGTTTCTCAGTTAAGTTTTAATATGATAAATATCCACAGATACAATCCATATAAAAGTTCCTTGGGTTCCCTCAGTTATTTTTAAGACTAAAGAGTCCTGAGGCCAAAAGTTTGAGAGCTGCTGCTCAATGCCGGATATGGGATTTCCCAACTACTAGTACACTTTTAACTGTTAACTACCTGAATCTGCACTGAGACTCTCCGGACACCCACTGGAAACAGAAGCTGCAGAGACTTTTCAAGTTGCATTTGCCTGATCTCCTTGGCTCTATGTAGCCTTTCTGGAGAAGGGAATTCTGAGGTGGAATTCTGAGACAAAACAAGCCTAGTTAGGTTAAATTTGGCTGTAAGGTAACAACAAATGAATCAGAGCACATAGCAAGGTGGAGGCTGCATTCTGGTGCTGGTGCTTGACTCTTGACCTGCACCTTTCAGCCTCCCCTCAGCCCCCCAACCCCCCCTCCTTCCATCTATAATGTTGGGTTGGACTAGTGGGTTGCTATTTCATTTCTAAATATATATTTAACTTTTAAGAATTATAAGCAAGACTTTGCTAAATAAGAATTATAATCTGGATCTCAGCAACTTTTAAGGCAAGAAGGCACTATATCCTAAAGAGAGGGTAAGACAAATTTTAAATGCTGAATTTGTAAAACCTAAATTACAAAGCAACAATTGAGACATGTTTTAAAGGTGTGTTTATTTTAACGTGGGGGAGAAAGACTCAGGCAAGTTTTTGTCTTTAACAAAAACAAACCTTTTTGTGTTAGTAGATTATTACACATGAAGTTTCTTATTTTCTTCTAATTTCTTTTTTGTTGATATCTGGGTGGGCAGGATCATTCTTTATTCCACCAAGACAATAGCCAATGGATGGCTCAATTGCTAAATAAATCTTTCAGAAACAAACATGCATAGACTAGGGGAGGGAAGTGTTTGGTCAGAACTAGCAGTACAATTTCTCTGATTATAATATTTTCTCAACCTCATTTATGTCTTAAAAGAGAAACCTTTGTGTGAAAATTTTATAAATCAGTTAACTGAGGATCAGTCGTGCATTTCTTGTAAATAAATGACATACAAATTCATGAAATTACAACAATGAGCTAAAGCTAAAATTTAAAAAGACAATTCTTCAACTGATTTATTAATCTGTCCCTCACAAAAATTGTGTCCATAATTTAAAAATTATGTCTGTATCATACCAGCCTCTCAATATTTGACTTGTTCATGACATCACAGTTGTATGTAGTTTATACTGTGTTAATAAAAGTAGTTGTCAGCAAAATGTATGACAAAAGCAAGTAGGAACAGCCTTCTCCACCTCTCTCCTTTCACTCATCCAGATCTCACACATCTTTCATCAATGCTTCTCTACCTTGGTTTGACATTAAGATCACCAAGGGAGCTTTAAACACCAGCTATGCTCCGACCCTAGCCCCAGATGCCGATGTTAGATTATTGCACTTGAATGTGGTCTGGAAGTTGAGAGGGTTGACCACAGGTGATTCTGGTTGGCAGCTACAGCTGAGCACCTCACTGGCCTTCCCTGGTATAAGCTTGACCTTCCTTCCTCTGACCAGCAGCCAGAATGTTGTTTCAGATTTTTCAGCTGTTTTTGCAGTAAATCCTTTTGGTATCAAACGACTGCTATCACAAAGTTTGTATTAATATGCTGCAATTTTTCTAATTCCTTCCAAATGAAAGAGTATACAAGATGCAAGGTAAAAGAAGGAATCTTTTATGCTAATATTTAACCAGACATTTATTGTATTTCATGTAAGCAGTAAGAAGTCTAGTTGTGACTAAGATGTTTAAAATCAGCCACAAGATTCCTGTGCCTCTTCTATTCAATCTACCTGTTGTCTGTTGCTGTTGTTAATAAGGCATCCTTGGCATGTTTCTAACACTTTTGGAGACAAGAAAGGAATTAGAGTTTATCAGTATTGGAATGTTACCATTGTTGTCTACAGTGCCCTGAGATGAGACTCATTTGTACCAGTGGAAAGAACCTGAATTCTAGGGCAGGTACCATGTTACCCAAACATTTATAAACACAGGTCTAGTGTCTCTACACTGACTTGGAAATGGGAAGTCGGAATGGATTCTTGATAGAATAAATCAATGATAAAATTCTGTGCAGAAAGGTGGCTGGTAAATTATCAAGTCTAAATAACACATTATGGAATCTTAGCTAATACTGCATCTTAAAGAGTTTACAGAGAATTTTTTTTTGTCTTTATCTTGCTGAGTTTTATTTCTTTGAACATTAGTGAGAGAATTGATATTTTTTAATTGCTGGATAGATAATTTGACAACATTGTTCTGGAAATTATAATAGTTTGCTTTCCAACCTTTATCATTTGAAGTGAAGAATAAACTAGAATATTTTTCTTTTTATGTTCTAACAGGCACCAGAAGTAATCAGAATGCAAGATAAAAACCCATATAGCTTTCAGTCAGATGTGTATGCTTTTGGGATTGTTCTGTATGAACTGATGACTGGACAGTTACCTTACTCAAACATCAACAACAGGGACCAGGTAAATATTTACCAGCTCTTGGGGTTTATTTTACTATATGTATAGTCTCCAATAGTAGAAAAGAAGTGTTGAGCCCTGGGTGAGCGTGCAGGGTTCATCTCTTGATCTTTGTTACCAGCTTTATAAATCATATATTTACTTTTGGCAATAATAACAAGGCCTTGGGGTATTCTTAAGTGCTGTAATGAAGTAAAGTTCCTGCTCTTCTGACTAGAAACCAGAGTTCCAGTGATGGGTATTCCTCTCATTTCCTGGCCCATAGCGCAGTTAGAAGACTCAGCTCTGCCACTGCTGCATCTGGGCGGTGTGCCTTCCCTGTCACCCCCTGTGCTGTCAAGCACGTGCTTGGCCGTGAACTCCTTCCTCTCAGAGTCTTCTAAAATCAGTTAGACTTCTTGGTGTTTGGTTTTTTTACTAGGTAAATGAAAGGACTGTTACATCATGCTTTCACTGTTTTATGAAGAGAATTCTGAGAAGGGACTATTTCTCTCTCCCTAGTTTCCTATACCTTACCTTCCCAAAAACTGCCAGTGTAGCCTTTTGCAGCCTTTTGCTTTTTTACCCTGACCACATTAAATTCATGTAGGCTTTTAAAACTGACCCCAAATATGAATTGCCTTCACTAAAATTACCTAATATACCCAACATTTTTTTTAAAGATTTATTTATTCATACATACAAGAACCAGGGTACAGACCAGATGTGCAGGAGGGTGAGCGGATTCACCAGAAACAGAGCGGGGAACAGAACAGGCAGACTGACTGAAATACACTGCTGAGGGGAGCAGCAGGCAAGACAGGAGAGGTCTGTCACACCATGTGGGATTCTCGCTGGCTGGCTGGGATCGAATCCATGCTGCAGAGGCTGCGGACAGCTTCACAGCGCTGAGCTCAACCGCCTGCACTACCAGGGGAGGCCATACCCAACATGTTTAAATTAATAGAAATTAATAAATCGTATATCAGGGTAACATCCATTTATCAACAAGTAAGTTTATTTCAATAAAAGAATACAATTACAGAATGAAAACAACAATTAGCTCCAAAATATGGGTAAAAGCATCCCAAATTTCGCACTCATCCACTTCGTGGCATTTTAGGTGCTTTGTCCTCCATGGGAGTATATTAAGTGATGTGGCAGGGGGCTTACTCTCCACGAGAGAAGTGAGAGAGTGACCAACAGAAGGGTAAGGTTTTACTAGTTCGTTCTTTCTAGTAGTATAGTTAGAACTTTCTGGAATTTTCCAGTTTAAAACCAAGTTAAGTACTGATGAAGAAGGAAGGAGATCAAGAATGATAAGCTCTGCCCATTATCTTCATTATATTTCATTACCTTTTAGTCAGCTTAGTGTGATGTTATGGTGGACCTTGGACTCACCACCAGCTTACCTCTTAGAAGAGCTTTTCTTTAATTTTTTAAATTCCTTTAATTTCTCTTTTTTAATTATAAAAATAGGAATTTGGATTAAATAACTTCTTCCAGTTATAAAATCATATTATTTCCCGAAACAGGTCTCTTGGCTCCTTGAGGGATGACCATCCCATGTTCTACATGCTTTTACTTACCCAGATGTTAAGAGTCTGAGAAATTACTTTGTCTTTCTTCCTCCCTCTTTATCATTACATCTTACTCCCCTGTTGCCCTATTTTTCTTCCTTCAGCACCTCCTCTCTACTAACTTGGGATTAAATGTGCTCATTTAAGCAAGGTGTATTGACTCTACCCCCATGACTTTCTTTTCTTAGAGCAGAAGGACTATGTTGCCTTATAAGAAAATAAGATAATAAATCTGTTATTTCAAGTGTATTCCAGTTATTGCTTTATAACAAACCACTCAATGCATAGTAGCTTAAGCAAATTAGGAGACTATATAACCTAGGTTGTTGTCAGTGAAAAAGGCTTATCCTTATTTCACATGGTATTGACTGAGAATACTTCACTGAGTTTTAAAGGATCTACTTCTAAAATGGCTCATTCACTTTCCTGACAAGGTGGTGTACTCTCTGTCTGCTGGAAGCTCAGTCAGGGTCTCCATTCTTCTCCACATGGACTTTCTGTGAGGACCTTTTCACAGGTTGCTTGATCTTTCTCATAGTCTGATAGCTTGTTTTGAGCACAAGTTCTCAGGAGACACGAAATAAGTATCAGTGTCTTATCAACAGGCAAATTATGTTTAAGTTTTTTGAAAGTTGACATGTGCAAGGCACTGTGGCATATAGAGGGATACAAAAATGAATACAACACTGACTGTGCTCTTACTGGGGTTTACAGTTCTAGTGAGGCAGTGCAGGGTGCCATTGAGGAGAGCTGACGTGCTTCTGTACACAGAGGACTGAATGAAGGAGTGGAGGGAGACACCAGGAGCACTGAGTCTGGTTTGGGAATGTCAATAACCCACCCCAGAATTTCAGATCGAGCTACTGATTTTTGTAGTACTGCTACTGGAATTTTCTGTGCACAAATTAAATCCAGGAAAGACTTCCATTTTCCTTCTTGCTGCTTCTTCATCAGTCAGCCCTCCCTTATTGATGGTACCTGCTATGTATTCTGTGGGAAATATAGAAATATAAAAGCGTTAGCTTTGATTTTTTTTTTTTCTCAATTCCTCTTGAAAGAATTTTTTTTTAAAGATTTATTTATTATGTATATAAGAGCTGGGGTACAGGCCAGAGATGCAGGAGGGGAGAGGATCCAACAGAGACAGAGTGGGGAACAGAACAGGCAGAGTGACTGAAACACACTGCTGAGGGGAGCACTGGGCGAGACAGGAGAGGTCAGCTGCGCCATGTGGATTTTTCCCTGGCCTGCTGGGGATCAAACCCATGCTGCAGAGGTTGTGGATTGCTTCATAGTGCTGTGCTTAATCCCTTGTGCCACCAGGGAGGCCCCCCTCTTGAAAGAATTTTTAAGAACTGTATACTTCCTTGTACACTTTCTAGTTGACATCTAAAAATTTTTATCTTAAGTTTAAATAAGTTGCAAAGAACATAATTTCTAGTCTATTAATATTTTAAAACAAAGCTGATATATATGCTATACATTATTTTAAATGTAGCCAATAAAATCTAAAAATCATACTGATTGATGCCTACTGTCCCTTGTTTAGAAAATAATAAAACCTCTTCATTAGTTTTTGAAACTTTTTTATGTGAATCTTTTTCTCTTTCAACTCTTTGTATTCTTCTTACCCCACAGATTTTTTTCCTAATATGACACATTTTTAGGCTTTAAAGCCTTTTATTCATCATTCTACAACAAAAAAGTGTTTAAATTTACAATTAAAGTTTTTTCCTACTACTTTAGGACCTGAATGTTAATTTTTGAAGTTCTTAATTATGCTATTGTTAATAATTATATATTAAAAACATGTAACTGATGAAAATAACCAAAATGTTGATGTACAGAAAGATATAAGGTCAGATTGATTGGAAATATGTACATTAATGAACAATGGGGCTTTTTTTTAACCTTCATTCACTCAGATATCTGTGGATATATATGACCATTAATGTGATGACCTAGGACTTAGCACTGATCATTTTCCTTGCTTTGTTTTTAAGGAACTAAGTATTGAGACATGTTCAAGCTAGAAAATGGAAAGTCAGAAGTTCTATTATAGCCATATGAAGAGTTCAGTTGTTCCCAAGATCACACTCACATTCAGTAATTCATTACATCTTACAGAACTTGCTGTAAGTTCTTATATTCACAGTTACAGTTTATTACAACAGAGGGACACAGTAATCACCTATGATTAAAATCAACCAAGGAAAGAGACACCTAGGGCTGACGCCAGGGCAGTTCCAGTTGGAGGTTCCAGTTGTCCTCTCCCAGTGGAATTATAGACAACACTGCATTCTCCTGCCAGCAGTGTGTGACAAGGCCCACCTAGGATTGCCACCAGGAAACTCACTCAAGTCGTGGGGCCCAGTGTTTTTATTGGGGCTCCATCACATAGATAAAATTGATCACCTCTGTGACTGACCTTAGGGTTCATCCCCTCCAGCCGTACTGTTACACATGACTCAGAGCCATCCCTATACATCACATTGATGGCATAGACTCCCTGGCATGACCCAGTGCCTCCAAGTAAATGAAGACACTTAGAAGGCCTTGGGATTACCTCCAAGGAGCCAAAAGCCAACCTCTCTGTGGGCCATACACCATATCACTCAGTTACTTGAACTCATTTCTATACATACCAAGACTTACATAATAACTTGCCATTAAAAAGTATTTTGACGGGGCCTCCCTGGTGGCGCAAGAGGTTAAGACACAACCTATAAAGCTCTCTGTAGCCACTGCAGTGCAAGTTCAGTCTCCGGCCTGGGAGCTACCCACATGGCGCTGTAGACCTCTCCTGTCTCGCCTGCTGCTCCCTTCAGCAGTGTACTTTAGTCAGTCCTCCTGTTCTGTTCTCCACTCTGTTTCTGGTGAATTCTCTCACTCTCCACACCTCTGACCTGTACCCTAGTTCTTGTATGCATAAGTAAATAAAACTTTTTTTTAAAAAAAGTATTTTGGGGGCCTCCCCTGGTGGCGCAGCGGTTGAGCTCTGGGCTGCAAAGCTGCCAGCAGCTTCTGCACAGCTTCTGCAGCGCCGGTTCGATCCCCTGGCCCCGATGAGGATCCCACGTGGCGCAACAGACCTCTCCTGCCAAGCCCGCTGCTCCCCTCAGCAGTGTATTTCATCAGTCTGCCTGCTCAGCTCCCCGCTCTGACTATGGTGAATTCTCTCACCCTCCCGCGCTTCTGACTGTATCCAGTGCTTGTCTAAATAAATAAATAAATAAATAATTTAAAAAAAAAAAAAAAAAGGTATTTTGGGGCCTCCCTTGCGCAAGGGGTTAAGACGCAACCTATGAAGCTGTCTGCAGCCACTGCAGCATGAGTTCGATCCCTGGCCAGGGAACTACCCATATGGCACAGCAGACCTCTCCTAAATTGCCTGCTGCTCCCCTCAGCAGTATATTTCAGTCAATCTGCCTGTTTTGTTTCCCACTCTGTCTTGGTGAATCCTCTTACCTCACACCTCTGGCCTGTACCCCAGTTCTTGTATACATAAATAAATATTTAAAAAAAAAAAGAGTATTTTAACAATTAGTGCTGACAACCTTACTGAAAGTTAAGAATCAGAAACAGGGGCCTCCCTGGTGGCGCAGGGGATAAGTCTCAGCGCTATCAAGCTGTCACCAGCCACTGCAGCCTGAGTTTCCAGGGAGCTGACCCACATGGCCTAGCAGACCTCTTCTGTCTTGCCCACTGCTCCCTTCAGCAGTGTATTTCAGTAGATCCACCAGTCTCTGGTGAGTCCTCTTACGCCCCGCCCCCCCGTACCTCTGACCTACACCCCAGTTCTTTTATGCATAAATAAATTAATCTTTTTTAAAAAAAGATTCAGAAACAAACTCTGCAAAGGAATCCATTTCCCATTCCCTAGAGCCCAGATAGATGCCAGTATTTGGGAGTATGTGGTCGCCGAGCAGTTTTAACCCTGGAGCAGTGCAAACTATCTTTGGATTCCGTGTGGGTACAAATTCTGCCTTTTGCAAAGAGGGAGAAAGGCAGTTTTTAAAAGGAAGGTGGAGGGCCTCCCTGGTGGTGCAGCGGTTGAGCGCTGGGTTGCGAAGCTGCCCACAGCCTCTGCAGCGCTGGTGCTGCTCCCCGGTTGCTCCCCGGCTGCTCCCCGGCCACCTGAGGAGGGTCCCACATGGCGCGCAGACCTCTCCTGCCGCCCGCCGCACCCCTCAGCAGTGTACTTCGGTCCTTCTTCCTGCTCTGCTCCCTGCTCTGGCTCTGGTGAATTCTCTCACCCTCCCGCACTTCTGACTGTACCCAGTGCATGTATAAACAAACAAACAAACAAATAAATAAAATACATGCCTCTTTAAAAAATAAATAAATAAAATAAATTCACCAAAAAAATAAAAATAAAAATAAAAGGAAGATGGAAAAGGAGGATGATTCTTCCATCTCCACCTTTATGGTGCCCTGGCAAATGAGCTTATGCTAAGCAAGGGTTGTTACACCACTGAAAAGGAAAAAACCATAAAGTGAGGTATCAAACTTGATTGTTCCTATTGATCAGCTTGGCCTTATGACAAAGGTCTCCTACTGGCTCCCTCCACCTGAGCCTCTAGTCTGTGCCTGCTGGACCTGTTCGCTCTAAGATCAAAACCTCTTTCCTCCTGAGTCCCAAGAATCCTAATATTTGTCTTTACCCACTCTTTAAAAAGAGCCAAAAGTTAGAAAATTAAGAAGTTAGAAAAATTATAAGTCTGTACTCAGGGGAAAGAAGCTTTTCTACTTAATGAAAGAGTTTTCATTCCTAATGACTTCACCTTCTTCCCTCTGGAGAAGGCACTGATTCTCGGATTTATATAATTTCCCCTTTGGCGGTTCCTCAAGACCCAGTAACAATAGGTCGTCAGTAAGACCTTTTTTTAAGTAGAAAAGAGATCCAGTCAGATTTGGTTTTTAGGGTGATTATCCTATCAGTGGGAAAATGGACTAGCAAAAAGAGACTGGAAGCTTGGGGAGCAGTTAGAAGACCTGTGTCCTAGTCCAGGAGTCATGAGGGGTTCAACTTGCAGCCCATTAAGTTTTGGATCCCCACAATCTTGGATTATAGAAATCAAAATACTAGGTTTGTATTTTTTAACTTTTTAATGAAACAAAATAACACACAGAAAAGTATATAGGTCATAAGTGTCCAAGTGTTGAATTTTCAGTTTATGCAAAGTGTCCAAGTGTTGAATTTTCAGTTTATGCATTTTGTAACTTATTTACAAGTGGTATGATTTGTGTTTTTTGTTTCTCCAGATAATTTTTATGGTGGGACGAGGATACCTATCTCCAGATATCAGTAAGGTACGGAGTAACTGTCCAAAAGCCATGAAGAGATTAATGGCAGAGTGCCTAAAAAAAAAAAGAGATGAGAGACCACTCTTTCCCCAAGTAAGAAAAAGTTTTATCTTTCCTTTAAAAGACAGACTAATACTTAGGTGCATGTTTTTTTAGCACTTTCTAGGACATAATACAGTTTGTGTTTCACAGATTGGAGTCCATGTGATTATGCGCAGACTCCAGATGAACAAACACATAAAGATGACTTTTTAAGGATTAATCAGTTTACCTGGAAAGTTAGGGTTCCAACACAAGATAACAGAAAAGACTGCTTTCATCTAGCAGCTCTCAAAAATTTTTAAAGCCCTTTTATACACTTAAAAAATATTGAAGGGCCTCCTTGGTGGTGCAAGGGGTTAAGTCTCAGTACTATCAAGATATCACTAGCCACTGAAACATGAGTTTGATCCCCGGCCAGGGAACTGACCCACATCATGAGGCAGACCTCTCCTGTCTCTCCCACTGTTCCCCTCAGCAGTGTATTTCAGTAGATTTGCCTGTTCTGCTCCCTGCTTTGACTCTGGTAAACCCTCTTACCCCCCATACTTCTGGCCTGCACCCCAGTTCTTGTTGCATAAATAAAAATAAATAAATCTTAAAAAAAGTTGAAGACTCCCAAGAGCTCTTTTGTTTATGTAAGTAATAATTACCATTTTAGAAATTAAGATTGTTTAAAATATTTATTCATGCATTTATTTAAACATGAGCTATTATGTGTCAAATAAGATTTTTTTTTTTTTTTAAGATTATTTATATAAGCACTGGAGTATAGGCCAGAGGCATAGAGCCAGGAGCAGAACAGGCAGAAGGACCAAAGTACACTGCTGAGGGGAGCAGCAGGCAAGACAGGAGAGGTTTCCCTCGCCATGTGGGAATCTCCCTGGCTGGCCGGGAATCGAACCAGCGCTGCAGAGGCTGCAAACAGCTTCACAGCACTGCGCTCAACCCACTGCGCCACCGGGGAAGCCCCTCATATAAGACCTTATGAAAAATATTTTCCTAAGTCAGTGAAGAGTGGCTTTGTTTTACATTTTTTACAAAGCTCTGGGAAAAGGAAACAGCTGAATTTCTGCTTTCGCATTCATTATATGGCAATATTTACCATCATGTAACCTCTGGAAAATCTCCACTTACATCGTAAGTAATGTCAGTAAGAAAGGCAAATAACATCTTAGTGTTGCTATAGAAATAGTCTTGACCCTTGACCTTTTAGAGGTTCACAGGCCACACTGAGAACTGCTGCTTTCACTCTTCCTGATAGTAAAATAAAAGGATTCCAAGCCGCCTATTAATACTGGGTCTTTTTACAGGGCATTTGCTCTTGGGGCATAAAGAAAAGGCAGCTGTCAGCACTATGTTCCTTTTCTGATTCTTGGAAACTTTATATTGCTTTTTTCTTTTCGTGTAAGTTAATAATCTTTTATAAACCTCACAAAGTGAAACTAAGTCCCTGAACAAACTGAGAAAGTTTAGCTAAGTAGATATTTGTAATATGAATTCAGTGTTTTGTGATGCTTTGGAATTCCTGATAGCACTGTTAGAAATATAGCTCAATAAATCCATACAGCTGTCTAGTGGGAAGTGCTGACTCCTATGGTTTACTCAGCTCCCCTAATTACTGGATTAGTCCTTTGTTAGCCCTTGTGCCTTTCAACACCCAGCCCCAGCTGAGCTACTTATAGAGCAGTGACTGTTACAAGAATGAGTGACTCTTATATTCCCACTAAAGAATTAAATACAGAATTGAAGGTTCAAACAAGTCTCTCAGGGACTATTTCAGAGCAAGAAGGGGGAGGCTAAATGAATGAGTGGGTAGATATATTTTACATATTACTGTTTCTCTGAGGAAAAGTTGTTTTGTGTTTTTTGTTTTTTTTTTTTTTTTTTTTAGAGAGAGAGAGAGTGTGTGTGTGTGTGTAGAAGAACTGGGGTATATGCCAGAGGTACAGGGGGTGAGAGGATTCACCAGAGACAGAGTGGGGAGCAGAACAGATGGATTGACTGAAATACACTATTAAGGGGAGCGGTGGGTGAAACGGGAGAGGTCTGCTGTGCCATGTGGGTCAGCTCCCTGGCGGGGGATCGAACTCAAGCCCAGGCTGTCACAGTGGGCCTTTGCGAGGGTAGCACTGAGTCTTTAACCCCTAGGCCACCAGGGAGGCCCTGTTTTATTTTTTAACCCAGAAAACCACTGCAAAAGTAAAAGTAAAAGGCCCAGGTGGTTCATCAGAACCCAATACCTTGTTTTCACATCCTATTTAACAGGGTTGATTTACATTAATAATACAAATCATGTCATTAGGCCCACTTTTAAAATGCCATTAAAAGGAATAAAATGGGGCCCCCCTGGTGGAGCAAGGGGTTAAGACGCAACCCATGAAGCTATCTGCAGCCACTGCAGCATGAGTTTGATCCCCAGCCAGGGAGCTATCCACATAGCACAGCAGACCTCTCGACTCGCCCGCTACTCCCCTCAGCAGTGTATTTCAGTCAGTCTGCCTGTTCTGTTCCCCACTCTGTCTCTGGTGAATCCTCTCACCCACCACACCTCTGGCCTGTGCCCCAGTTCTTGTATGCATAAATAAATCTTTAAAAAAAAAAAAAGGGATAAAATGTTCATACTTCTAAATATAAGTAACATTTCATTTTTTGCATGGTATCAGAAAATGAAATTAGTAACGTGCAGAATAACACAACAGTGAAATACATTTTGATTTTGCCTCTCTAGCAACATCCAGCATTGGGTACAGTATTGGGAAGTGAGGGAGAGCCTTCCTCTTAAATTTTTTAACAATGTTGTTGGAAATGTAAATTACTTTGACTTTAAGGGGCTTGAGAGAACCGATAAACTTAAGATATGAATGTCCTTGGTAATTCCCAGTCCAGAAAAATCTATGCTAAGAATCTGCTTCCACAAGGATTCAGAAATTGGGAAATGGGGTGGCTGGGGGTTGTGGGGGGACACCAAAATAATGCAGAATAATGTATAATCTGATACCACTGTAAATGGCGGTAAGGGGAGGGAGACTCTGTTTTCATATGTGTGTGTCTGTGCAGAAGAAGAGTCCAGAAGAAAGTATAGCCTCTCCAAGACAGGATTTAAAAGCTTTGGGTGTCTTACTTTCTCCTTTCTTGTAGTTGAATTTTCATTTGTGTGTTATTGTTTATAATTTTATTTATTTTTTGCTTATAATTTTAAAAATTGGGTAATATTACCTTCTCCTTTACCTTCTAATACTGATTGTTATGGTAATATACATATTGTAACTTAACTTATTTGTAAAAAGTTTTGTAGCTCAGGGCCTCCCCTGGTGGCGCAGCGGTTGAGCGCTGGGCTGCGAGCTTCTGCAGCGCTGGTTCAATCCCCGGCCGCTGGCAAGGGTCCCACATGGCGTGCAGACCTCTCCTGCTCCCCTCAGCAGTGTATTTCATCAGTCTGCCTGTTCTGTTCCCCACTCTGGCTCTGGTGAATTCTCTCACCCTCCCGCGCTTCTGACTGTACCCAGTGCTTGTGTAAATAAATAAATAAATAAATCTTTTTTTAAAAAAAGTTTTGTAGCTCAGAAAAATAGTAATACTCAAGTTTTCTTGAGCACTTACCATATGCTAGGTATGTGCCAATCCTTTACATGTATTTCTCATGATTAGGAACATTCATTATCATATTGTATCTTCAAGGATCATGATCTCTTTAAATAAGATGAATTTCTACACTTTGTTATATTGGTGTCTATTTGTAGACATTTCCTGTCTTCTTCATTCTGGGTTGTCACCTGTCACTTCTTTACCCCTGTGCCTCAAGCACTCTGGGCCCCTGGGGTCCTGCTTTTCCCCATGTATGTAAGATACTCTCTTTTACTAAGGTTCTTTAGTGAATGAGTTGTTCTGATGGTAATATTTATGCATTCGTATAATGCTTTACTAATTTATGTGCCATTTTCTTCCAAAAGGAACTTGTGGACTTGTGAGAAATAGGTATATCATTGGTTTTAAAATGATTATTATTTACTGTTCCAGCACTGTCAAATGATCTGGACTATAAACCAAAGCTAAGTAAGGGTTACTTTTTCCATTCTGTTTACAGAGATAAAAGCCGTATCAGTGTGGTTATTTTCTTAAGGAAAAATATCAGTTTCTTTAGTATTTTCCAGGCGTTATTGAAAACAATGTAAGATATCAGATGTGTTCTTGTGAAATGTGATGGGTTCTAAAAGTTTTATGCCACCCAGATTTTCATTCTTTCTTTTATTTTCCCTTTTCTAGATTCTCGCCTCTATTGAGCTGCTGGCCCGCTCATTGCCAAAAATTCACCGCAGTGCATCAGAACCCTCTTTGAATCGGGCTGGCTTCCAAACAGAGGATTTTAGTCTGTATGCTTGTGCTTCTCCAAAAACACCCATCCAGGCAGGGGGATATGGTGCGTTTCCTGTCCACTGAATCAAATTAAATGAGTGTAAGAGGGTAGAGACAAAGGAAAATGAACATCTTTGCATCTGAATTTGTTAAATGGAATAGGATATTCTTTTTTTTTTTTTTTTAAAGTGAACCAAAGAACACGTGTGTTTTTAAAGATTGAATATAATTTTTCCCAATCTAAAATTCATATGTAGCATTGCATTTTTAACATGCATTTTAATGAAGAATGTACAGACATTGCTAAAAATTTGCAGTGCTTCTTCCAGAGGTTTGACTTCTGTTTGTTTTGTTTGCTTGGCTGTTCTGATTATTAAACTTCAGTGAAACTTTTCTCATATACCCTTTCCATTAGCTGTAAATGTCCTTAGGACTCCCAGAAACAGCACCACTATGTGTTTTAAGTTTTTATTATTATTTTTTTCTATGACTATTTCTTTTTACTACAATTTGGAAAATATAGATGTCCCTAGTCCCTTAAAGCAATAACTAATTTTTTTTATAAATTGTATGTTTGGGTAACCAAATATGTTATTGAGAAATGGCGTGTTTGACATGAGTGAAATAGATTTTTAAATTTGGATTTTTAGTGGGGAATTGCTATAAATTGGAGTTCCTTTTAGGTAATATTTTTTCTTATATTAAGGATGTCTTACACATAAAGAAGTTAAGTTCCTTACAAATACATTGCCGCCTCTTCCTCCTCACAGAATTCTGTGAAAGCTTTTAGATTGGTTTGCCTCTCTTTCCTATAGTTCTGTTTGCCAAACGACCTGGTAATGAGGTGTTGTTTTTTTTTAATTATCACTATTTTAGTTTATTCTTAACTCTCAGTTATACCTATTATAGCAATCAGCTTATCCTTGTGTCTCATAAAATCTTTGCGCTCCTTATTTTCTTTGTCCAGCAAGAGTCTATGTATTAAGAATGAATGCTTTTCTTTTTTGCATTCCACAGCATGGAATATTTGTTGGTGCTTTTTTTTTTAAGATTTATTTATTTATGCATACAAGAACTGGGGTACAGGTCAGAGGTGTAGGGGGTGGGAGGACCCACCAGAGACAGAGTGGGGAACAGAACATGCAGACTGACTGAAATACACTGCTGAGGAGAGCAGCAGGCAAGTCAGGAGAGGTCTGCTGTGCCATGTGGGTAACTCCCTGGCTGGGGATCAAACTCATGCTGCAGTGGCTGCAGATTGCTTCATGGGTTGCGTCTTAACCCCTTGCGCCACCAGGGAGGCCCTGTTGGTGCTTTCTAATGCTCACACTTTCTTGTCTGCAAAATGGCTGCAGGGGGCAGTCAGTATATTCTGACTGTGAACCAAAATCTTACTGGCAAGCAAAGTGAAAGCAGCAGCATGATAAGCAGAGAAATTGCTGTTTCTTTTTTTTTTTTTAAGATTTATTTATTTATGCATACAAGAACTGGGGTATAGGCCAGAGGTGCAGGGGGTAAGAGGATTCACCAGAGTGGGAAGCAGAACAGGCGGGTCTACTGAAATACACTGGTAAGGGGAGCAGCAAGCAAGACAGGAGAGGTTTGCTGCACCATAATGGGTTAGCTCCCTGGCCGGGCATCAAACTCAGGCCATAGAGGTGATAGCATTGAGACTTAACCTCTAGGCCACCAGGGAGGCCCCAGAAATTGCTGACTCTACTTCAGAGTCAGCCTAGGACCAAAGTTAGCCCCTGAAATGCACCTTCATTTACTCAGTTTGGATTTGTGATCATTTTTAATAATAGCTGACAGTTAAGACTATACCAGGCATAGACATCTGTATAAACGCCATCCTTGTTGGAAATCAGTAAAGAAAAAAATTGGGAAGATTTTAAATTATTTATAATTTAGTCTTTAAGTACCACAAAGAAATTTTTGAGACTTTCCTTATTTAAATATATTAAATTTCATCCAGGAAAACCACTCAGAAATAAATACACCTTTAGCTTCTCATTCAAGTAGCTTAACATAAGTAATGCCATTATGTTTTTAGAAATTGATTTGTGATTTATCAGTTTATACAAGAATAGTGCAAAAGAGCATTTCTCATACTTTAAAAAGAATGTCACATGTTAGAAATCATAAAAGTGCACAATTTCTAAATCCTCCAGTGACCCTAAAGATAGGGTTATCCATAATTATATATGGAGTTTTATTCATAAATTGAATAGTAAGTGGGCATGTAGTTCGTAATTCAGTTTTACAAATTTGACTTAGTCTTTGGAATGCTCAAAAAGTTTTGGGCAAAAAATAGATGACTGGATCAAGAAGATGTGGTACATATATACCATGGAATATTACTCAGCATTCAAAAAATATAAACACATGCCATTTGCAGCAACATGGATGGCGCTGGAAGGGATCATGCTCAGCAAAATAAGCCAAAAAGAAAAAGAAAAATACCGGATGGTCTCACTCATAGCAGGAATCTAGAAAACTTAAATAAGGGATCAGGAAAATGAATAACTATAAGAAAGTGAAAATCAAAATCAACAAAAAACTATCAACCAGAGACACTTTTTGGGGGGGTGGAGGCTGGGAGGGGAGGGATTGGGGTCAGAATGGGGCATGTGCAGTTGTATGGGGAATATAAAAATAAAATTTATTATTTTAAAAAAAAAAATTAAATTACTTAAAAAAAAAAAAGTTTTGGGCAATATAAGGTCCTCGAGTCCCCGAATCTTTACTGATTGAACTCTTTCTATAATTCCCAGTATACTTGCTTCACTTTCATCTTCCTCCTTTGTTCACTCTCCTTTTCCCCACAGCACTGTCCCACTACCCACCACCCAGTCCCCACCATCTACTTTCCTTTCTTTCCTTGTCTCCTTTGCCAGAGGGCATTGCTAAGCATTCAGAGCTGCTTGGAAACTCACTCTGCCATCCCATAGACATCTGAACATGCCCCAGAAGGGCTGCATAGTAATTCTGCTCCTTTCCAAATCAGCCCACTGCCAGTGTTAACGGGAGAACACTAAAAATATGGAAGTGAAATGAGATGCTTAGATAGCATGGATAAAGAGAAGTAGGAAGTATTCAAGTAAGATGCACTCTCCCAAGTATACTGAGAAATTATAGAAAGTTTAATCTGTTGTTCATCCTGATTTCTCCAAGTAAAGAAAAATGTTTCCTGACCATAGGTAATCTCTTCAAACAGGTAATTAATAGGACACCCCTATATGACTTGCTTTTTTCCTAAAACCTGAGCCCTCAGATATGACTTCTTTAGGAAGAAGCTGTTTTATAAAATGTGTTTCATTTTTTTGACGTTTTACTAGTCAGTGATAAGAAATGACTGAGATTTGCCTTCTTGATTTTAAGAATTTTCATCATTTAATCAAATGTTTCAGGTTTATTTTCAGATACTGCAATATTCTACTAAATTTAAATACTACACCAGTCATTAAAAGCATCCCCTTTAAAGAATGACAATTTAATACTCCAGCTTAAATGGCTTTTCTCTCAAGTGAGTCACTCTCAATTTAAGGAAATGATCTGTCCCCCCTGTTTTTTAATATTGTGGAATGGGTACTTCATGACTAAAACATTTTGTCAGTCGAATCTTATTTAACTGAGAATTATTGAGCATTTATGTAACATTTTTTATTTTACTAAATATTTCATCTCTCCGATGATCATTTCTCCTAGAATTTAAAACAACCAATGTGTCTGAATCAGGATATTTTTCATCCTTTTGAAACTGCCTGAAACTTCTCTACAAAGAAAGAGGGGCCTCCGTCTTATATTGGGTGACTGCCTCCTGCATCTAAAGCAGTGACTGATTTGTATTCAGAATAACATGTTTTATTTTCTGTAGCATAGTTTTTATTGTTAAGGAGTTTTTGTTAAACTAAAACAGTCACTGAAGTACATTCAATTCTAGAATAAAGAATATCTTAATACTTAATGCTTCTTTTTATCCATGCTAAGTAATATCTTAAAACTAGTTAATAAAGTCCTTAGCTTTCAAATAAACAAATCAACTAGTTAATGAAGTCCTTATTAGCGTTCAAATAAACAAGCCATGGTATTTGAGGTGTACAAAATCACAGGATCTTCCCAAGTATTCTCTGCCCTATTCCTAGATACAATCACATGCAAAATAGAGCTTAAGTATTCTAACCCAGAAAGGAGATTTTTTGGGGGGGCTGGGGGGACCCTCGCCTGCAGCCAGGGAACGAACTGGTGCTGCAGAGGCTGCGGCAGTCTTGCAACCCAGCGCTCAACCACTGCACCACCAGGGGAGGCCCAGAAAGGAGATTTTTTTTTTTTTTAAAGTTTCATTTTGGCCACTGACTGAATTTTCAGTTAATTAAATTAGAGATGGCACAAGATTTTAAAAAAATTACCTGGTATTTGATTTCAAATAATTTCATAGAAGCAGAGCTGGCTTTTACCTCAAATCAAATAGTGGGAGGTAGGATAGTAGAGATTTCCAGATATGCAGCAAAAGGTCTTTTTTTCCCCAAAAGTGGACCTATCACGTGTTGCTGCTATCTTTTTCTTAAATTTCTTCTTGATTTCAGAGACATATGTAGGAAGATTTGTATTAATCCCTGAACTGTGAGTTCTTTTTAGTGCTTCCTCACTCCCCACCCCCACCCCAAGTCTTGACTGTGAAAGGGATTGCATTCCATGAGAAGTGGGAGATTTGGTAGGAAGGCCTTTAGTGTTAAATTTATTAGTGTTTGGAAATTTGTTAAGATTTTGTGCTTGTTGTGGGAGGTTGGCTTTGTGTGTTTTTATTGTTAAGGTTAACATTTAAGTTTGTAAAGTGAACACTGTTCTACAAAACGAGACTATACGAATGAATAGGAAACATTTGAAGATAATTTAAAGTTAATTTTAATGTGATATATAAGGTTTAAATTAGAGTTTTTAATTTTCTGATATTCCCTCTCTTCAAGAGTAACTCTGGCCATTTCATAAAGATTTCTGTTAAGTAAATCCTATTTTGACATTGGCTTTTTGAGATTTAGTTTCTGCTAGTAATGATTATTTGTAAGAATGTTGGAAATTGTTTTTTGAAGTTATGAAAACACTAAAAAAAAATAGCAACCTTAAAATCATAAGTACTTAAACTGTAAGGAACAGTATTTTCTAGATAGTGTCTGTTAACGTAATAACCTCCTATGGCTCAGCTCTCAATGTTTTACTCTCTAAGGCCTTAGTAATTTGGCTTTTTTCCCATTAGTGCCAAACTCCCCAGCTCTTTTGACTTGAAATGTGAGGTAGTAATTCATTTCACCTCCCTTGATCTTTTGACTCACAATGCCTTGGTTAATTGGCTTGTAAAAAAGAAACCCTTGAATGGGAAGAGATCGTATCACTATCTGTAGTCCAATTATAGTTTTATTCAGGATGGTAAGACAAATGATTAATTATCGAAAATTGTTTAGGGATTTGTTAATTGTTAAGACCCTAGACTTGGGAGTCAGCGCCTGGGTTTGCATTACAGCTCTGCAGTTTTCTAGCTGTGTGATCAAGTTATTCAGAGATTACTTAAATAGTGTATTAGGGGGAAATGATTGCTTGGATCCTCATCAGACGTTGCTGCTACTGAAAAATGATGTTAAAGCTCTCTAAGTTCTGTTAGTTATCACTTAACCAACCCCCAGAAATAGCTGTGGTGTATATACAGGAGGAATTCACCTTTTGGTGTAAGTTGAAGCCATAAACAGAATAGTAGATGAAAAATAATGACATGAAATCCCCAGAGTCATTAAGCACAGGGAGTGAGGCAAGTACCTCAAAGGGTTTTGTAGTTTAAAGAATTCCTGCACTCAGAGTAATGTTCACTAACTTTGCTGGTTTAAACAGTGGAATGAACTAGAAAATGGAGGGTCTGGATTTTCTTCCCTGTCAAATGTGTATTATGGACAAACTCTTAATTTTATCTTTTACAAAATGAGGGGCATTCCTGCTTCTTCCTTCCCAGTGGTGGCATTTTAACAATGAAAATGAGTTGATAATTCAGGGGGAAAGTGTTCTACAAATCAACCTTACTAGTTTATACTCCGTTTCTGAGAAATTTTGTTCGTTGGAACTGTTTGCCGCTTGATTAGAGGCAACGGGGAAAGGCTCAGCAGACTTGATATTTAATTAATATAACTGAATCACATCCTATATACTATATAAGTTTTCTTTCCTCATGGGCTGCAGCCATTTTGCTTTTAAATCCGCGATAGTATTGCTAGACTTGTAATACACAGCTAGTCACCTTTCAATGAGGTTTCATTCGGCGAGGCTTTTCTGTGTCTCTAGATTATTTGAGATGTCTTTTTTAAAATTAGCTCTTGTCCTCCCTCTACAGGAGAATTTGCAGCCTTCAAGTAGCCACACCATCATGGCAGCGTCTACTCTTTATTTCTTAAGTCTTGTGTTCGTACGATTTGTTAACATCAAAACACAGTTCTGTTCCGCAAATCTTTTTTTTAAAGATACAGAATTTTTCAATGCATAAGCTGGTATGGAACAGAATGGAATTTTTTCCCATCCAACAAAAGAGGGAAGAATGTCTTAGGAACCAGAACTTTCTGCTGCCAGTGTTTCTTCTTCATCACAAACACCACGTGCATACAAGTCTGCCCACTCCCAGGAAGAAAGAGGAGAGACCCTGAGTTCTGACCTTTTGATGGTCAGGCATGATGGAAAGAACCTGCTGCTACAGCTTGGGAGATTTGCTCTGGAAAGTCTGCCAGTCAACTTTGCCCTTCTAACCGCCAGGTCAATATGTGGCTCATCATCTGATGGGGCAGTTGCAATCACCAAGCATCGTTCTCTTTCCAATTCTGGGATTTTATTGCGGAGCTCTTTCCCCTAGCCACCACCGGTTAATTTCTGAGGGATGGAACAAAATGCAGCATGCCCTTTCAGGGTGGCGCGTGTTCAGTCCTTGACAAATTTTATCAAAGCGAAACTATTTTATTTCAGTGGATAATGAGCAATGAGGAGGAGGTCATTTGGCGGGTAGAGGGAATGCTGCATCTTTTTCCTGACCTTCTGGGTTTCTGGCCTTTTGTTTCCTTGCTCGCCGAGCGTGTCTGCCTAACCACCCAGGCGGGAAAGTGGCGCGCGTGGGCCTTCTCTCCTCATGGGTCCAGCAATGAAGACAAGTGTTTGGGGATCTTTCTCCTCCACAATGTAGCAAGTTCTCAGGAAATACAGTTGATATCTTCCTCCTAAGCTCTTCCAGTCACCAAGTACTTATGTGGCTACTTTGCCCAGGGCACAAAATGCGCTGGCATTATCTAATTTAAAGCCTACAAAACTGTTTGATTACAGTTTTGAATGTGAGACATTTATGTAATTTAAATGTAAGGTACAAGTTTTAATTTCCAAGTTTCTTCTATTATATTTTTATTAAAAGAGAAAATAATTTTCAGATTTAATTGAATTGGAATAAAATAATACTTCCCACCAGAATTATATATCCTGGAAAATTGTATTTTTGTTATATAAGCAACTTTTAAAGAAAAATCATTTTCTCTATCTAAAAATGGCAAGTCTTAGCATCATGACAAATATTTATAATTTTTAAATTAATGGTACTTGCTGGATCCACACTAACATCTTTGCTAATATCTCATTTCTTTCTTCCAACTTATTCCTACACTACATTCTACATTCTCTTTCTAGTCTTTTATCTAGAATATGCAACCTTAAATAAATTTGGTGGTGTCTCCATTCATTCTCCTCCTTCCTTTTTTCCCAAGCCTGGTCTTCAAAAGGTTGGGTAATGTGACAGCGGAGTTCCCAGGCAAAGACTAGAGCGATTTGAGGTGTATTTGGACTGAGGGAGGATGTGTGAAGCCGACCATCAGTTTTTGTAGAAAGAGCTGCTGCGGTCTTTCAGAGAAAGCTCGTTTATCTTTGCATGAATGGAAATTATAACCTAGTCCTGACTTTGGCTTTTACTGATGGTGGAGTAGGTGACTGCAGTGAAGGAAGTAACTTTGGATGTATTACTGGCAAATACCTCTGATATCATGAGTCTGAGAATCTCCTGTTGGGACGTAGAAATGTAAATCAAAACAAATGTACTTAGCCCAGCCAAGCTGTATAGCCAAGGACCTGAAAGAAATTAGACAGGACCTATAATATGAATCAGGAAATTAACAATGGTGATTTTAAAATTCCAAATTTAACACGCCCCTCTGTATTTCAGTCTGCTAAAGCTCGCTGTCACTAGGCGGGTTTTTGCTGGAATGTGTTTTCAGAGGAAGACCTCCTGAAGATCCCACAGGCTTGTAAAAGGTTGTGCCAGTAAAAATGGAAAATATCCCAAAGTTATGAATGTGCTTGAAAAGCAATGTGTTCTTTAGCCTTACATGAACAAAACAGTAACTTAGAAAATTCAGACACTGGGAAGAGGAAATTGGTGCTGACTGGAAGGGCGTCTCGAGTGCAGGATTCTGCCCCACTTTGGAAAACATTGCCTATTTTTCTTTTGTAATCTGTTCCCAGAGGTTTGTTTGGTTTTTTTTTTAAGATTTATTTATTTATGCATACAAGAACTGGGGTATAGGCCAGAGGTGTGAAGGGTGAAAGGATTCACCAGAGACGAAGTGGGGAGCAGAACAGGCAGATTGACTGAAAACACTGCTGAGGGGAGCAGCAGGCGAGACAGGAGAGGTCTGTTGCACCATGTGGGTAGCTCCCTGGCTGGCGATCGAACTTGTGCTGCAGAGGCTGTGATAGTTTCATAGTGCTGTGCTTAACCCCTTGCGCCACCAGGGAGGCCTCCCAGAGCCTTTTAAACATGACTTTGTGCCCTTTACCAAGATTGGAGAGAGCTGGGCTTGACCTGTAGGCAGGCCCTCTGAGCAGGGGCACTGGTGGAGCCGGGACAGGGCCACGCAGCGGACAGGACATAGTTATGGAGGAAGCTTGGTGCAGGAATGCCCAGAGCGCTGCTCAAGGGGATGCTCCTTTTTCCTCCCCTTTCTCATTTGAAACAGGGAAACAGACTTGACAGTAAAGGAAGCTGTGCCCAGAAGTCAGCCTCAGGATACTAAGGGATTTTTATGAAGCCCTTCCAAATAAAAAAAAAATTCAATTCCCATTTTCTTCATGAAATAGGTTAGTTTACAGATTGAAAAAAAAAGGGTTTCCTCTGAGTTTTATTTTCTTTAATTTTTGATGCTTAGACAATAGACTTCTCGAGCTCCTAAGAAAATACAAGGAAGAACTCCTTGTCTGTGCAAAGCACTTTATGAGTAACTGTACAGATAGTATGCCGCTGCTTACCGGGTATCTTGTGAGGCTGGATTATCTGTCTTTTCTGTAAAATGGCTGCAGTGCCTTCTGTCGTATATTTTATTTGGGGTAAGGAGAGGTGAAACCTTCTGAAAATTTTGAGAGTAACCATAAAGGATTGTTTCTAAATATGTAGTATTCCTGGTGGACTTTTTCATCTTAGAAACAGAGCTAGTGTCGAGACTTTGCTGCAGAAATAATAGTGACCAAAAGTAGTTTATAAAAGGGATTTGTGAATAGGAAGTCCAGTGTGATCATATGTACTATTTTGCACCTTTAAAGAAGGTTTAGCTGTCAAAGTCTGGGTCCCTGATTGTATTGTGATCTGGTTAGGCAGACTGTGGCATCCTAGGAGATAAAATCTCATATGAAGTATGAGATATATATTGGTGTTGCAGAAGAGAGAGCATTATACAGGTAGAAATAATTCAAGACTTCAACACTGTCAACCTGAAACTTTGTAAAGATCTCCTAGGTTCCCTGGAGCAGTTCATAGCTCTTTATCAGATGACGTTCTCTTTGATTCGTCAGGCAATGTCCGAATGACTGCCCACCCCTCCTCAGACCGCCCCTCTTCAGATCGCACCTGCCCTTCCTGTGCACTCACCTCTCCAGCCTCCTGCAAACCTCATCTAGCTTTAGTTTGAAACACATTGCAGCGTTCAGGTGACCTCTTCAAAAAACTACCTCCTCAGAATGAGGTAATGAATAAGTTATTTATTTTAAAATATGAAAAGTCAGGAGCTCTAGAAGATGAGGATGGTTTAGGTTTTAACTTTTATGTGTACTTGTATTTGAGCGCTCTCATTTTGTCCTAATGGGCATTAAACATTTAAGTAGCGATGCTGAAAAAATGTAGCTCAGCGTTTCTGAATGTTTGAAAGTGGTGCCAGAATCTGTTGAGGGGTACGTTGCAGAATCTTAACCTTGTCAGTTGCATGGAATTAAATAGCTATGGTATCACTTCACTAACAATGCTATCATTTTAATTTTCAGTAGGCGTCGCAAGATAGAAATCTTCACGATGAGCCGACCGCAGCTTTGTCACATGCACAGTAACGCCTAGGGAGACACCCAGCGACGAGGGTAGAGTGATTACCATTTTGCAAGATTCTTTGTCCAACTTAAGTTGGCTTTGTTAGTGCTAGAATATCAGCACCTTGAGACTGGCAAATTCCAAACCTTTAGGTTATTTAAAAAAAAAAAAAAAAAAAAGGAAGGTTTACTATGAACCTGAATAGCAAACAGCTGACAGTTTATACATGGAAGTGGCATAGGTGGGGCCCGAGAAAAACACCTCGATGATTTGCCAAATGATTATACTGTGCCTTCACGATGCAATAAAAAAAGCTAAAATTTTAGCAGAAATCAGTGATTTGTGAAGAGAGCAACCACTCTGGTCTAACTCAGCTGTGTTAATATTTTATAGAGTGCAATTTAGACAGCAAAGAAATGCACTAAAGAGTTTATAGCCAAAATCACATTTAAAAAAATGAGAACACACAGGTAAATTTTCAGTGAACAAAATTATTTTTTTAAAGCACATAATCCCTAGCATAGTCAGATATATTTATCACATAGAGCAACTAGGTTGAAATTATAGTTCAGTGACATTTCTAGAGAAACCTTTTCTACTCCCATAGGTTCTTCAAAGCATGGAACTTTTATATAACAAATGTTTGACACATTTTGAGAAATTGCTGTAGTTTAGGGTTGAAGTACTGTATGCTGGGCGGCAATTGTAATAGCTGAGACGGGGGGAAATGAACAGGTAGGACAGGGTTTGATTTTATTTGTTCCCAGAGTACCGCTGCCAACCTAGACATTGATTTTTCAGAGTTTGAAATGTAAACTTGCCTCCCAGGACCTGTTTGCAAATTATGCAGGACTGTGCTGCTAATATTGTTCAGGGTGCTTTTGGGGCCAGGTGAGGTCACCATAGGCTCATTCATGAGGGGGCACTGGAATAATGAGCTGCACTGATGGATTGGACACACTCCGTGTGCTTGTGTCTTGTTTCGTTCCTCGCCACCCCCAAGAAAGGCAGAGTACTGTCTGCAGGGAATTCTCCAGATTTTCATGGAAGTGTGTAAATGCACATAGGCTGCACCCCCAAGGTGTGCAGGAGGGTTGGTGGGTGTGTCGACCAGAGAAGGGCATGCCCGGTGCATTCACGTTCCCTGTTGCTTGCTCTGGTGAAATGAAAATACTGCTGAGACTTTTGTTTGATCAGTACACTAGACAGGAAGCTTTGCTTTGTTCTCAGATGACCTGTTTTCACTTCTGTTTGGGCAAAGATGTTTGAATTGAAATTCAGTCCTAAATTTTGTCACTTGTGGAACGGAAACTAGCAGTTTTGGCTATTTTTAAAGTAGAAGACAGAAACTTGTTAAAAATCTTCTATTAAGGTGACCATGCTTTACTTAAAAGCAGATAGGGACAGTCAGCCCCCACCCCAAAATGATTAAGTAAATCTTTTATTTCAGTATGCACAATTTCACGTGTTTTATTAATTACTAGATCAATTTCATTAAAATGAAATGCCACTTAGTAGTTGTGACTAATTACGATGACCCCGTCGTTTGGCCGCGGTGCGGAGGACACAGCTAGTGCAGCCAGTGCTGTGATGCATCTTGTTTTAAAGTAGTCAATGGATTGAAGTACTTTTCAAAAATAAAGGACTGAAGTGTTTATTCACATTGGAATAAAAAAAAATGTATCTGTGCACACCGTTTACTTCTCCTGGCAGGCCGAGCACATCGTCTGCAGTGCGCAGCCCATTCTCATCAGATTTCAGTGGAGGGAATCCAGCGTGAAGTCACTGAAGATGTGACCGAGGAAGGGTTCTGGGAAGGGTGGGGAGAGGGGCTGAGTCAGCTGCTTAGTACCAGGTGTGTTTGAAAATGACCGTTGCACCTGTTAGTCTCTTCTGCCCGTCGTGTTCTGGAGTGTGAGTTACAGAGGAGGGGGCCTCGGACTAGCACGAGCAGCAGAACTGACTGGGCCCCAGTGTAGAGAAAATGGACCAAATGGGAGGGGGGAGGGTGTGGGAATCCATCTGAGGGTAGGGAAAATTTGATGTGAGGGTAGGATAAAAACCATTTAAAATGTAAGAGTGCAATAGTGTGCTTTTTATTCTAAGCTGTGAACGGTTTTTTAAAAAATCATTCCTAACACGTGTGTGTGTTCCGTAGCCGAGGGAAACCAGCTGTCTAAACGTGTAATGCCTTTTTACTCCTGTTAATCACCAACTTAAGTGGCTAATCTGTTGTTTATCTTCATGTTCTACTAGTTTACATACAGGGGCGTGTGTGTGCGTGTGCACGCACACGCGTGTGCTGTGCCCTTTCTTCTCTTTCATTTGAAACTGCGTTCATCGGGTCCTGTTTCCTTTGGCCAGTGCCCGAGTGACAGCCTGTCCGGCCGTGGTGTCTCCTGTTTGAAGGACTCGGTGGTGTGTGTGTGTGTGGTGGTCTCGTCTGTGGGCTGTGCGCCCTGACCCCTCCCTCCCTGAGCAACTGCTGCTGCTCCCGAGTCGGGCAGACGGCTAATGGGGCGACGGGACTGGTTCAGCAGCACGTGTCCCCTGGAATTCTGTCCTGAAGTCATGATTGTTTTTTGGTTTAGACCAAAAAAGGAAGTCACGCCCCTTTTCATTTACTTCTTGGTTTGCGGACAACTCTTCTGTGAGGGAGAGGGAAGGGAAATCCTGTTTTAATGGCAGTGCCTGAAGGGCTCCTGCTTTGCCACTCCAGACCTGGCGGCGATTCACACACATTCCTCTTCTCTCTCTGCCAAGGCTGGGACTTCGTTCGCGTCCACTCCACTCACGCATTAGAAAGGTTCTCAGTCTGGGGTGTGCCCAGTGGAAAAAAGGGGACTTTTTAACTGTCCACAGATCTCTACCTGCTTTGCAAAAATTATAATGAAGTAACTATTTTTAAAGCTTATTTTTCAATTCATTAAAAAATTTATTTTCAGTCCAATGGATTTCTGTAACCCTCTTTTCCCCTAACCCTCAATGTTTGCTTGAATCTCCCCTTTTTTTTATTTTTAAAGAAAGTTCTTCCCCAGACCTACTTCTTGATACTTTCTCTTTCCTGCTCAGGTCCCTTCATTTGTACTTCGGAGTTTTTCTCATGTAAATTTGTACAATGGAAAATATTGTTCAGTTTAGATAGAAAGCATGGAGAATTAAATTTTAAAACAACTGAAATTGAGATTGAAGAAATTTATTTCTGTGTAAAGTTATTTAAAAACTGTATCATATAAAAGGCAAAACTTCTATGTACTTGATGTGAATATGCGAATACTATTATAATAAAGACTGAATGCATGGAGAAGTCTTCCTCGAGATTCTTTTTCTAGCACTGTCACAGTCAACAACAGAACAAGCGCTTTGACAGATCTCCCAGGCAATGAAGGGACTGAGACATCTACATGACGCTTCATTCATGTCGGTCACTGCTTAGTGGGTAGATGTTGCTGTATGAGAAGTATTTTGAAGGAAAGTTGTCCAGATGACTGCTGTCCTGTCTTATGACAGTCTGTTCTCTGGTGGTGGCGATGGCCTCAAGTGTTACAGGAGGCTGTCACCTGACACCCGCCTACAGGGGCTCAGCTGGCACGTGTATATAATGGAGTCAGTAAGGAAGTTTGTGTGGAGTTCCTCTTAGATTTGTTTCTCATACTTGTTTGACAAACCTTCAATACATTCTCTGTAGGAACACAAACATGAAACTATGCCTTTATGTTTGTGACTTCATTTTTTAAATACAGGCTACCCCACTGAGTTGATTTTGTCTGATTTTATGCATAAAAGACACCCAGAATTCTCTATAGACTTATTTCAAATTACTGGGCAAATTTCCCAAAGGAGGTAAACAATTTCAAAGCTTTATCTGGAAATACCATCTCAGAATATGAAGGAACAGAAGAGTCTTCAGAATGGCACGAATGTGAGTATGGTTTCTGGTCTTCATGCCCTTATAACTCACCATAAGTGCTATCAAGACAGGCATTTCTGAACCGCAGTATTCTCATCTGCAAAGTGTAATTTCTATAATGCTATATTCATTTTCAAAATACTTTTAAGACATTACGACAGAATAAAGAGCCTTATTTTTTAAGGCTATTTGAATTCCCATTTCCACTCAAAGACCAATACAGAGTACCTAGTGGGAGAGAAAAGGTATTAAGTTTTCCTGAAAGTTTAACCCAGGATTATGAATTCCTTGTGAAATTCGTTATGAAATCCTTTCGTGAATAACCTACACACAAGCTCTGCTGAAACCCAGCAGGGTGGTGCCAACTGGACCACTGCCGCAGTCTTCTTGGCTCTAAGGCCCCGACTCATCAGTTACTAAGTAAGAACCCCCAAGGATGACTTCCCAGGCTCATGTGGCCAGGACTTTGGTTCCCAAGGTCAGTAATGTGCATCTTACATGCGTGTATAACTTTGTGTTGTGTCAACAGCTGCAGTGCAATTTAGAAAGAAATGGGTCTGTCTGTAGCTAGAAATATGCTGGGCAGGTGCTGCTCGCCCCTGCTGCCTTCACCTAGCAGGGAAGCCACTGCTCTTAGAGGTGACAAGGCCAAGGCCCACGCGTAACGCATTTCCGACCATGCCTGACCTGCAGCCAGTCTTCAGTTTTCACTTAAGCACGTGTACTCAACAGCTCTCTGGGGCTCACTCCCACTTAGTATTTTCCCATAAGCCATATAGCAGGGTAACTATTCCTTCGAGAAGGCTGGTGACAGTCTGCTGCATCAGCTCAAACTGCTTTCACTGCCCCAGTATGGAGAAGGGGATCCAGTACATGAGGCCCCACTGCTGAGTCGAAGACTTGTTTTAATTCCAGCCCGGCAACTGATTTGTAAGGCAAGACATGGGGTTATGCTACTTGATCAGTTACAGATTGTATTCTGTCCCCCAAAATCATCACATTAACTGGGTGGGGGGAGAATAACAAAAGGGAAACCTAAAAAGTACCAATCTAATAGTCTTTTAAAAGACCTCAAAAAAAATAGACCCTTAAATATTTTTCAGCTCAGACCACTCGCTTGCACAGGTGAGTAAGCCAGGGACTGACTCCAGCGCCCCTGCAGCAGGCACAGGACTGCCGGGGCTGCCATGGGAGGGTGAAGAGTGAAGGACTGAAGTCTTGTGAGATCACCCTCTGCTTAGAACTGCCAGAGGCTCCTCATTGCATGTGACACAAAACCTACACTTGCACCACAGACGTCACCTCACCTGGTCCCCCCCGCCTCACCTGCTGGAACTCCTCTGACCTGCCATTTCAGAATCCTCTAGAAGTAGAGAATGACAAGGGCTTTTGTGTTTACTGTCCAATTATGACTGAGACCTAAGCTCGGGGGGCAGGCAGCAGCATGGTACAGTCCGCACTGTACTCGGGGTCAGACCTGCGATGGCCACTCCGCAGTGTGCCCCCTTCGGCCTCGACATCCTCACTGGTAAATGGGGCTAATGCCTACACCCTGGGTGCCCAAAAGGATCCACTGGAAGGGCTGTAACCAGTTAGCAGCAGTTGGGAGCACAAAAATAATCCCCAAAGGGTAGCTGTCACTATCAGAAACACCCAAAACTCAGTTCCTCATTCTTGACCAAACCACTTTAATTTGCATCTTTAATGTACAATATGAAGTCCGTATTTCTTCAGTTTCTCACCTGGCTCCTGCAGGGAAACAAAAGTGAAAAGTTTTAAGTACTTTTATCTTCAATATTTCCAATCGGTAATTCTCATCTACTCAGGCACTCACTGAGCACTCATCACGCGAGCGGCCTCCCAGAAGAAAGAAGCAAAATCACCGAGCTCCAGTTTCCAGGCCCGTCGTTAAACAGAATGCTCCTGACTCTGTGTGGGAGCACTGGGGTGTCTAGGGCAGGGAGAGTCAGTGCTGGGGGACATGCTAGCGCAGGAGGAGCAGGAAGCCTAGTTAGCCCTGGAACCTCTGACCACAGTAAAACCAGAGACAAAACAAGCTGGAAAACAGCTGAACTGCTGCCCCCTGCTGACACTGTTGCCCATTCCCCCCGCAGATCCCAAAACTCATGTTCATGCCACTCAGCTACTTTCCATTAAAACTGAAACGGCAACACTAATAGTACGATTTCATGGTTAGACTTCACTATCGTGTAACGCTTCCTGCCCTCCAGAAAGTGAGGGCATTTTGAATGCTAGCGGTTACCCACATGCAGGTTGAGGGAGAATGTCTCAGCCCCAGAGGAGTCTGGGGGCGGGGGGTAGAGAGTCCTCCTAGTGTCTTCCTTTTGAAAGAAGGAAGAACTCTGACTTCCTGAGCTGGAGGATGGAAGGGCTGAACCTGTCACGTCTAAAGACGGCTGCGCACAACCCCGTATCACAACATCCCCGTGTTCTGGAACGTCCCTCTTCAACGCTGAGGGTAGAACACAACTAGGAACACACAGGTGCGCGCCCTGCCTTGCCCACCGGGGTAACCCCGTGCAGGGCTGAGCAATGGATGGACAAATGGAACTGTCAATGGTAACACGCCTAAGAATTTTTAAAAAAACAACACAATTTTCTCTATATGGAAGGACGTCTTGGAAGATGAGACAAACGGGGAGGAGAAAGGAAGGAAGATGGTGTGTGTGGAAACACTAAAGGCGGGAATTAGACCTATGATACAGTTCACTGTTCTTCGCGCTGACGGAAGATGCAGTTTCTTCCAGACCATCACAGGCACAAAGTCACAACACGTTTATTATTAAAAGGTAAATGTAACTTTGAAAAAAGTAAGAATTTGGGGCGTACCCACTTGTAAAGAGCTGAATGGACGCCTTTAGTCTTCTTCATCAGGAAGGATTCCTAATTCTTCATCTGTCCATTGAGAAGGATCTGGATACGCAAAATGACCCTGGTGACAACCATTAAAAAATAGACAATTTATACTCCAACATAACAAGTTTTTTATTTTTTTATTTTTTTTTTTTGTGGGACCCTCGCCGGCGGCCAGGGAACAAAATGGCACTGCAGAGGCTGCAGGCAGCCTCGCAGCCCAGCGCTCAACAGCTGCGCCACCAGGGGAGGCCCAACAAGTTATTTTTAAAAAGCAATCCTGGAAGGGGGCCTCCCTGGTGGCGCAGGGGTTAAGACGCAACCTATGAAGCAATCCGCAGCCACTGCAGCACAAGTTCAATTCTTGGCCTGCCAGGGAGAAACCCACATGGCGGGACAGAACTCTCCTGTCTCGCCCACTGCTCCCCTCAGCAGTGTACTTTGGTCTGTCTGCCTGTTCTGTTCCCCACTCTGTCTCTGGTGAATCCTCTCACCACCACCCCCACATCTCTGGCCTGTACCCCAATTCTTGTATAAAAATAAATAAATCTTTAAAAAAAAAAAAGCAATCCTGGAAGGAAAAAGCACGTTAAGGCTGACTTCATATACAGCCACCCCTGACACCCCACAGGAACATGTTCTATCCCTTCTTTTCACGACGTGATGGTGCAACTGTCCTTCTGCCTGTTCACTATGGGCTGTGGCCTAAACTGTAAAAGCCGGCCCACTTGGGAGCTGCCAGCTTGAGCCAGCGTTTGAGTATGTCTTGATGGAGGCAAAGGAATTCAATCAGCCCCTCACTCCTGCTGAGAGATTCGGGGGTCTTGGGGTATCATCTTTGATGCTGATCTGGGGTGAATCTAGCTGTGTCACTGTCCATCAGACACATAGCTGAGAGCTGCCCTGCCAGAAGCCAATGGCGTCTATGGGTCACCCATTCACAGATGAGCAGCTCCTCACTGGATGACACCGTTCACAGACTGAGCAGTTCCTCACTGGGTGACAGGGGCACAGAGGTTGTGCGAGGAACGGGACAGTAATCCACCTGAAGCTTCTAACACTTGTGCCTACGTGGAAGATTATTTTCCTATCCTAAAGCAACTAAATTTATTAAAATCAAAGTATTCTGGACCAACAAGCACAGAGGTGAATGACTTAGAGGCATTATTTCCTGGAGAGGAGGGTCTGTGCAAATGTGATGAAAGCTCAGTTGAGGCTGATGACATGTTAGAAAGTTACCAGGAACGAACTTTCTTCCTCAAGGCAAAGTGGCTCACCCCAACCTGGCCGCCTCAGGTCTCTGGACAGATTAGATGACACTCATCCTTTAAAGGGACCTAAATGTGAAACTTCACCCACTGATGAGGCCCTCCTCATTCAGAAGGTAAGAGAATTCGTTCTAATTTCCCTTCCAAATATGGCAACCTGGGCCTCCCCGGTGGCGCAGCGGTTGAGCGCTGGGTTGCGAAGCTGCCCGCAGCCTCTGCGGCGCCGGTTTGATCCCCGGCTGCTCCCCGGCCACCAGAGGAGGGTCCCACATGGCGCGCAGACCTCTCCTGCCGCCCGCTGCTCCCCTCAGCAGTGTACTTCGGTCCTTCTGCCTGCTCTGCTCCCCGCTCTGGCTCTGGTGAATTCTCTCGCCCGCCCGCGCTTCTGACTGTACCCAGTGCTTGTATAAATAAATAAATAAATCTTAAAAAAAAAAAAAAAAAAAAAAATATGGCAACCTAAGAGAAGCCATACGACGTGGCCCACCTACACAGAGTGGAAAGGGCCAGGGAGCATCTTCACTAAGGATTCCTGCACCCCCACAAGGACGCCATGATGAAGGCATCTGTCCAGAGAACTCTTGCTAGGTCTTCCCTCCCCAACCCAAAGGACACAGGTTGGCGGCCCTTACCAGCACAGCATCTGAGTCATGCCAAAAGCGCCAGAGAATCCAGAACCACATGGTTGCACTGAAGAATTCGGCCTGGATCACCTGGAACCTGGTCAGCTGGGGAAACTGTCTGTACCTGGGCTCGATGTGCACACCGCCGCCAGCACTGCGGAAGAGACGCGAGTATGAAGCAGCTGCCATGCCATCCTGACACATTGCCCCTCCAAAGTTCTGAATTATGTCCAGAAGCCAAACCTAACACTTCGCATCACTACGAAACACAGAAGACAGCACTCCACAATCCTTGAAAATACTGGTTTACATAAGGTCTTTTTTTTTTTTTTTTTTTTTTTTTGGGACCCTCACCAGCAGCCAGGGAACGAACCCGCGATGCAGAGGCTGAGGGCAGCCTCGCAGCCCAGCGCTCAACCGCTGTACCACCAAGAGGAGGCCCTTCATAAGCTCATTTTAAACTTCTATAGCAACACGAAAACTGACTTGACAAGAGACTAATTGTGAGTTTCAATCAGTAAATATGCATGTATTTTTCACCAGAGGTATGAGTGTGTGGATAACAGGGTGCTGGCCCCCCAAGAGTTGTGCTTACAGGCTTGACCTCACAGCAGCAGGTCATTAGCCTGTCCAGAAAAAAAAATCAGCAAACTGTATTCTGTTTGATCATCTACTTTGAAGATAAATAATGTCCTCTGCTCTATTACAATCTTTATTAGAAGACAGCTACACGGGAAAGAGGCCTCAGCAAATCCTTTGTAATAAGTTGATAATAGCTCAGAGTAATGCAAAAGATAATAGCTTAAACAGCAGTGGGACAGGCCTAAGAGCTGCTTGTTCCTTCAGACACTGCCCAGGGCTGAGGATATACAGCCCACAAGGCTGCAAGCATTTTATTTAGTTGGATACTAATTGTGATAGATTGCATCTAATTTAAATGGAACAATTTGTATTAATGGGGCTACTGTCAAATTCCATTCAGCCACTGTACAAATGCTAGACACTGAAACGGATACAGAAATTTAAAGTAAATTCCTCTATAAAACATGTCCACAAATGTCAGCCCAGGTCAGAATCAGTTTATAAAAAAAATTCCCTTTTGGGCAACACAAGAATGAATACCTAAGATTTCTCCAAAATGTGCTATCAATTCGAGATTGTTAATATCTCTATGATTCTTGTATATGTTACCAACACCATCCTTATTGTCCTCTCCAACCATTAACAAACATTATTTACTGTTTATGCCAGTACCAAGTGCCAGGTGACCACAAGAGGCACTTTGTAACTGTTTTCCAGGGCTCTTTGCAAAGGTACAGGACTGCAGCTTCAGTTGCAGTTCTGTCTTCAGCTTCACCATGTTTCCCTTGGCCAAAATGCACTACATCATCTCCAAGTCTCAAACATTTAGCAACTAATGGCAAGACACAGCCACTAGAAACGGACACCTAATTTCCACTGCAAATACAAATGTTTATGCCGCTTGACACAATTTGGAGCAGGATGGAACCTGTCCCCTGCTGGCAGTCACCCCAAAGGAATGGAGATCAGTAATCAGCCCAGTGGGTTTCATACTGAATTGTTTTAAAAGCCAACTCGTAACTGATGCCAAGTAAAAACACTCCACCCATTAAAACATGGCATTACAGAGGAAATAAAGTACACCTGAAACTTAAAAAAAAAAATAGTAGCAAATCACAAGACTTGAGAAACGAATAATTACAACTTATAACACAGAAAACAAAATGCTATTTTAAATAAACAAAACTGAATTAATAGAAGGTACAAAAAACTATGAAGAACAAGGTTTGGAAAACGACGAACAATTTCTAGAAAAAACAGATGTAATCATTTTCAATAATATGATTAAAGCCTGGGGCCTCCCTGATGGCTCAAAGGGTTAATTTAAATTTCTGCACTATGAAGCTATCGGCAGCCACATCCCCAGCCAAGGAGCTACCCACATGGCGCAGCAGACCTCTCCTTTCTTGCCTGCTGCTCCCCTCAGCAGTGTATTTCAGTCTGCCTGCCTGTTCTGTTCCACTCCTCTGATGAACCCTCTCACCACCTGCACCTCTGGCCTACACCCCAGTTCTTGTATGCATAAATATATATTTTTTAAAAAATGATTAAAGCCTATTTGGAAACAACCCAAATGCCCAAAAATACATGACTGGATCAAGAAGATGTGGTCCATATACACCATGGAATATTAGTCAGCATTCAAAAAAGATAAACACATGCAATTTGCAGCAATATGGATGGAGCTGGAAGGGATCGTGCTCAGCGAAATAAGCCAGAAAGAAAAAGAAAAATACCGGATGGTCTCACTCATAGCAGGAATCTAGAAAACTGAAATAAGGGACCAGGAAAATGAATAACTATAAGAAAGTGAAAATCAAAATCAACAAACAACTATGAACCAGAGACACTCTATGGTGGGGGGGGGCAGGGAGGGGAGGGATTGGGGTCAAAATAACGGGATTGCAATTGTATGGGGAATATAAAAATAAAATTTATTTAAAAAAAAAGATTAAAGCCTAAATTAAACACGGTCAACAATGGGAAAAAGTCAGGAGGATGAGAAAACCCGGTATACGGAATCCAAAGAAATACCGGCTGTTCAAAACAGGGCTTTTAAGTGTCAAGTTTAACATTTAAAAAATGCATCAAACAAGTTACATGTTTAATCCATAAACCAGATCAAATTATTTTGATCCTTAAACGCCTCCAATGGCTCCCCCCGTTCTGAGAATACAATAGCTCCACCACCGGGCTACCTCATTTGACCCCGGGTCGTCTCGGCCCTCCCCGACTGCAGCCTCTCCCGCTGGCTTGCCCATCCCCAGTACTCAGAGGCCCTACACCTGCCGCCTCCTTCCCCTGCACCAGCAACTGCGGATGCGCGGGGAGCAGCCTCCCGCGGAGCGGTGGCGCGGCCCCGCAGGTCGCGCACCTGGACTACCGCCGCGCCCCGCCCCACGCGCGGCCGAACTACAAGTCCCAGCATGCCTCGGGGCGGAGGTCGCCGCAAGGACCCGGGTCCGCCCCAGTGCCCGGCGTCAAGGTGAGGGTGTCCCGGGGACCGGCTATTTCCGTTAAAAACAGACGAAGCGCCCACCCCCCGCCGACACTCACTGACGAACTCCGCCGCCTCCAGGCTCCCGCGCGCGGAGGCCTCTGAAGAGGCGGCCTCCAACGCGAACGAAGGGCGCGCACCGCGTCAGAGCCGACATGCCAGCTCTCGCCGCGACAGCCTCCCCCAGGCCGCGCCCTGACGTCACTTCCCGCAGGCGCCCGCCCCGTGGCGTCACGGCGTCGCCGCGTCCACTCCCGCCAGGGGTGACCTCCTGAGGGCGGTGGCAGCCGTTCCCTTCAGGTTAGCACCCCCGCCCCGTCCCGCTGTGACGGCCGCCGGGCCCTCTCCGGGAGCGCGTCCGAACGGAGGGGCCCGGCGTGCCGCCTCTCGGAGAGGACGCGCCCCGCGCACAGCCAGGGGTGCTGGCGGCTCAGGCGCTGCCAAGAGACGCCCCGACCCGCTCGGCTGGGCGGGGCCTCTAGCACCGCCCCTGGGGGCGTGGCCGGCGCCGGTGGGGGCGGGGCGGCCGGGGCTTCTGGCGCTGGAGCGCCTGGGTGCGCTCGGGTGCGGGGAGGGCTGCACCCCGGGACGGTGTTTCCCCACCTGGGCCTGCCGCTCCTCCCGCTCCTCCTGCATCAGCCGCCTCCCAGGCCCGTTCAGGCTGCCCGGTGCATTCTGAGCCAGTGGGCCTTCCCTCAGCAGCCCTGTGTGTCTCTTGACCTGCAAGAGCCTCTCACGGGATCGCTCAAGTCTTCAATCTTGTTTCCGCAGAGTTGAACTTGGTCTGACCAACCGGCAGCCAGTGGTTTCCGAACACTATGCGTGCAGGGACTGCAGGTAGCAGCGACACCCGAGGAGCCTGAACCCAGATACTCTGGGTTAACAGAATGGCAGAGCTGATTCTGCTTCCACCCCTGGTATGTCAGCCACATTAATCGTGTGTGTGTTACCTTGTAATAAGATTTAGCGGTAAGTCGACAAAAACATTAAAAATTAGCAGAGATGATTTGAAGTACAGTGAAATTTTCCCTAAGCATATATTGTGCCTTGAGATTTGTTAGTGGTGGTAGCATGTGTGTAAGGCTTATAAATTATATGTGTATATACATATAAATATATTCCACTTTTTACCAGTAGGGTACATAATCAGAAACACGGTTCATAATCAGCAAGACTCTGTGGCATTTTCTAACCTAGAAAGCAGAGCCTGGGAACCAGCCTCAGGACCCAGCTGATCGGGGAGTATAGGGGGCTAGGAAGAGAAGAGAAAAACAAGAAAACAAAATAACTTAAGTTTATTCCTCCTTCTCCACAGAACATTTTCCCTGAAATAGCGACCCCCAGTCCCCAGGCCCAGCTTCTAGAACAGAACGCAAAGCGCTTTTCCCTCCCTTCACAACCCAAATAACCGAAACTTTTTAAAACAGATGTCTGACACCAAATCAGAGTGTGCCCTCCACACTTCCCGATTTTAAAATGTTCACACTGCTGTGGAAGAGGCCTCAGCTCTGTGAGGAAGATGGGCTGCTGTGGTCAGGGGAAGGACACTGGTCCTTTAAGAAGGAAGGGCTTTGCTGCATCCAGGATGTCTAGTTTGGGGTCCAGTGAGCGGCCAAGCCCCTCCAACACCATGATGGCAAACACGATGGAGGCAAAATTGCTCTCAAGCTTTACCTGAAAGAGAAAAACAGTGGTTCTTTTCCAAGGCCACAGACGTAGAGTACCTGGCTAGCCAGGTCACTGCCCTCCTGGCCCATGGGGTTTTTACCATCTACCCAGGTGGTAAGCTTCCTTGGAGCGGGTGCTGGCTGATGCCCTGTCATCACCATCACGTGTCCACAGCTTCAAACAGGACCCCTCTGGGTGTCTGTTTTGTCCCCAGCACATGCTACCGTAGAGAGGTGCAGGGGTAGGGAGAGAGCTCTGGACCAAGCGACCTGGTTACATGTCCCGCTCTGCCTCTGAGGCCCGAGGAGAGGAGCAGCTCCTGTCTCTACTGCACCTTCTGAAAGATGAAGGCGCTGCGCTGACTCTGAATTCTATGCTGTGGTCCTTACTGAATGGCTGCCTTTCCCATGCAGTGTTTCATTAGCAGACTGCAGAACCTCGGGGGGTGAGGGCAAAGGCCAGCCTCAGGCGGGGGTCTCCCTTCCCTGCCTCCCACCCTGTATGCCCCTCCACACTCCATTTGCCACCAGGAGACAGAGCTGAGCAAAGACCAGGGGGAGAAAACATGAGGCCACCTCTCAGGAGACGGGGGCAGCCTGGATAGGGGGCAGCCTGGAGGAGGCCTCTGAAGACAATAGGACAAGCGGCACAAGGTCTTGGGCAGCCCCTCACCCCTGGACTTTCACGAAAGAGCTGACATTCACACCAAGTATTCCTAATATGAACTGAGGAGCGGAAAGGCATGAGAAGCTTGAGTTAGGCTGCTGCTCCATTTCCAAATACATTTTTCTACAGTTCAGTATCACAGGTGTGTCCACTACATGGACTGACAGAAACATGAGCTAACAGTGTGATGTAGGGACTCTGCTATCCCTATGTGGGGACAACAAATAGACACCAAAAGTGCTTGCAAAGCAATCTCATGTAAGAGAAGTACTTCTCATACCCAGTGGCCACCCCACTAGCTTCCCCAGAGACCCCACACACCACACACACCAGCGTGATGGAGCACGGATTGCCTGGGGCCTCACCTGGTAAGTCATCAGTAATTTAAAGACATTTGAGAGAAGACTGGAAACTTCAAGCTGGAAAAGAGAAGAAAGCCAACTGCAGAGACTGCATCTCTCCCTCCCAGGCCCCTGTCCCACCCACCCAGTCCCACCTCCCACACTGTCGCGCACACCCACACTCACAGTGACTCACTCCCACACTCACACGTTCTCTCTACAACAATCTCACATTCACACTTCCTCTCTCTCACACACACACATACACACACACACACACACATGAACCAGGGGGGAGGAAAAGAACTGTCTGACAAACTCCAGAAAGGACCACACACCCACAAACCCAACTCCTAAGGTGACTGAGTTCAAAGGGTCAAGACGATAAGCCTGAGGCCCATCTCCCGGCCACTGCCAGCCCACACGGGCCGGTCCTCTGGCAGCTCAGGGCCCTTTGTCCTTTCCGCCAATCTCGGCTAAGCTCTAGATAGAGATGAAGCAGCAGAACAGCCGCAGCCTGGACAAGGAAGGGTCACAGTACTGTGGATGTCACTGTCCCCAGGGACAGCCGCCCACCCTGGAGGACTTGATTTAGAGCCACCCTTGCAAGCCAGGGATTTCAGCGGGCCTTGTCACACCTGGAAGATGCAGGTAGAGGAAGAGGTTTGTTCTTTGTCTGCCTTAGAGCTCAAGCACCCTGGAGATCTCACCCCATAGAGAGATCTTCCTTCAGGATGGTGCTAAATGAAGTCTGTCACTCATATGCGGAAATCAGAGAGACAGAAGAAAGGAACTGATAAACCGGAACCAAAGCAAACCCTAGAAATCTGACTGCAGAACTGAGGCTCCCAGAGTGGGAGGGTGAGGATCCGTGGGGGAAGGAGGCCCAGTGGACTGTGGTGGGGGGTGATGGGTGCTTTGGTGGCAGGTGGGGTACATACCTCTGAAGCGGTGTGAACCTGAACTCTAAACTATATACAGTATAATACCCAAAGTTGCCTCCATTTAAAAATAATACAATTTTAAAAATAGATGTTTAGAATAAACTGGCACAAATAAGCAAATAAATAACTAGGTCTCCCTTCGAGCTGGCACATGCTCTGTCCAAGGTCAAGGGCAGTGAACACGCCATGGCCCCTGTCCCTCCAGGGGCCTGCTCACCTTTTCCAGGGTGATGGTGTTATTCCTGGCCTGGGTCACCAGTGTGGCCATCTCGGCCTTGAAACCCTCCACATCCCTGCACTCGCTGGCCCGGGCATGATGCAAGATGAGCTCAGCCACTTTTTGACCCTGGAGGATGCAAAAGAAGAAAGATGTCATAAAACCAGCTGTTCTGCCCACACTTCATCTCTTAGTTGCTTCCACCCTGATTTTCTGTCATTCTGCTTTTAGCCACCCAACCTTCTGCAATCTGAACCCTCTAGAATACCTGACCACTGACCAAAGGCTTTCGGAGACTCTTGGTTGGAGGGGCGCCGCCTGCAGTTAGCCCCATCGGGCAAGGAAGTGGACACACAGCCATGGGGTCCTGCTGTTCCGTCCCAGGCGGAGCCACAGGGCCACCGGCCGCACTCCCCTGGCCAGCTGTCTTCCTGCCTAAGCAGAAGTCCTTCCTCAGGGGGCCCAGCTTCTGTGTTCTGGCCTCCTGGCTTCTCACCCGGGACACACTCTGGCCACAGCCTCCGCCCTGGTGGTCACTGCTGCTGCCTTTTACCTCCCAAAGCAGCCCCAGGAACCACGCTCCTCCTCCGACTATGACCTCCCTCCTCCAAGCCTGCGCACAGGAAGGTCCTCCGCCCGCACCGCCACCTCACCTGGATAGCCCAGGGACACTTTCAAACTGGCTCAGCCCCAAGCCTTTGGTTTGCCCCCCAGAAAGCCTAAGCAGGCCCCCCCTGAATTTTGCCTAACTTTATTATATATTTTTCACCAGCTCCCTCTTTCCCAGGGTGTTTCTTGCTGGAGAACCCTGCACTTGCATTGTCACCCCTGATGTGGCACCCCCTAAGTCACCCCACTAGAGGCCCCGCTGAATCTCTCCCTAAATAGTGACTCTCCACCACTGCAGTCATTCGGAGACACAGATGTGGGTTAAAAACCCCTCCTGCTCCCCACACCAGATCCTGAGGACGCCCCTTGGAGGACATGTTCTCTGTGCTGCCGGCCCACAGCCATCGCACAGAGCGGGCAGGCCTTCATTCAGTCCAGCAGCTGGCCTTCCTGGTGCCCACCCACACTCTGGCTGCAGGGGGCAGAGAAACCACCAGCCCGCAAAGGTCTCTGAGATGGAAGCACCAACCACCCAGCTGCTGGGAACTGGCACTTGTGACCAGAGACCCCCAGGGCGGCTTCATTTCCTCTCCCTCTCTCCCTCCAACTGTCTATGTTAGGAGGACTCTCAGCCAACGTGGGATTTCACAGGCCTGACAAAGGTGGACACGGTTCCCAAGAGCTTAAACATGGGGTCCCACCCCCAGGCCCAGCCACTCTCACCTGCCCCAGGGCCACAGCCGTGAAAACCGCCCGGAAGTTCCTCAGGTCGGCGGCCTGCAGCTCGGCCACAATGCCCGCATCCAGCAGCACCAGGCGCAGCGGGAGGCGGGTGGGCGGCCCGGCCACCACCAGCGCATCGCAGACCTCCACCTGCTGCAGCCGCATCTCCTGGCTCTGGGCCGGGCCGGCAGCGCCCTGCACCAGGATGTTCCCGGGGTGAAGGTCCGCATGCACAAAATTGTCCACAAATATCTGCCAGCAGACAGCGCCACTCAAGACTCAGTCAGCCCTCTCCACCCCATCACCCCAGGCCACGTGCCAAAAGAGCGCCCCGTAAGTTCCCAGGAAGCCCCCCACAGTGGCAGAGAAACTCCTTTTCAAGCATTTGCTTGGTGTCATCAGGTCAGGCATGACTTGCCAGAGCAGGAGTCTCCTTCCTGCCCCCTCACCCACATTGCCCACATGCCTTTCCGGCCCGAGCGCCCCCCTCGCCAGCTCACCATCTTCAGCAGCATGTTGATCCCTAGCCTCGCAATCTTCCTCTTCAAGTCATCAGGGATCCCCGCCTGCTGGTAGCTGGACACGGGCACGCTCTCCTTGGAGGGAGAGCAGGAAGGGAGAGCTTGACCTTGGGCAGCTGCTGCCTGCCCTGCTCTTCATCCCCAGGGGCCACTTGGTGTCCCTATCCCATCGACTGGGAGGTGACCCACAGTTTTTCTCTTGGAACCTCCTAGGAACCTGTCACCCACAGCTGAGTTGACCCTATGTCCACGTGCCCTCTCTAACATGCCCAAGGAAACAAGTCCCACGGGGGCTTTAGGGGAGAAATCCATGGGCTCTGTCCCCAGCCACATTCCCAGGGTTGCGATGGCTGGGAAAGACAGGAGTAGGGGACAGGAGAGCTAGTTGTTGGTCAAGGATCCGCCAGTGGGGACAGGAGTGAGCTCGATGGCCTCAAGCAGGAAAATAGAAAGGATCAGGAAGGCAAGAGAGAAGAAAGGGGTGGGGTGCCCAGGAGGTGTTGGTCAAGGGCATGCAGGCACCGCGGAGGTGGTCCCCACGGGCTCCAGCACGAGGCCTAGGTGGGCAATGGGCTGCACCATCTGGTTTGTGGGATTACATTTCCCGTGGGCCAGGCCGTCACCCCACAACACATTCCTCAGAAGGTGTCCCCATCTTTAAGCAACACATGACTAAACATTTCTTAAGGGTTGACTTAAATGTCCTAGCAACCCATAGAGGTAGCTCTTGTCATCCCCAAGTGACAAAGAACTAAAAGCCCAGAGGATGTAAGTAGCCTACTTAGTCACACAGCTAGTCATTTCCGCTCCTTTGTGTCACTTCCCTGGACCGCCTAGTACCATCTTTTCAAAGGATCGGAGCCAGGAGACAGCCAAGGCAAATGATGTGCCCATGTTGACACTTGTCGAGCACTTTATACAAACTCTGTGCCAAGGGCAGTTTGCCTCCTGGGACAAGCCTATGAGGTAGAAGGAGTTGCCCCTGATTAGACAGGAGGAAACTGAAGTCACCCAGTAAATAAAATGGTAGAGCAGATTTTCAAATCCAGAGTCCATGGCCACAGCCACACTCCCAGTTGCCCTGCTTCTTCACCTTCCACCCTCCTACCACCTCCGAGCTCCTCTCTGTTTTACAGACAGTGATACATCCCCTCTGCTTTCCAATGAAAGCCCAAGGAGGGGGCGTGGAGAGTGCCCGGCCGCCAGTGCAGGGGCAGCCATGCCCAGCTGCCTGACTCACTTCATATGTTTCCACCAAGACATCCCTGGTGACAAAGGGACGCAGCGGGGTGGGGAATTTGACAGAATTCACGTTCAGGAAGTTGCACTGGAAATGTTCTAGATTCCGAGCTTCATAACGCAGGTCGATCTACAGAGAAATGGAGAGAAGAGGGGTGGCGTGCGCACAGAGAGAGCAGAGTCCGAAGAGCTGGCAATTCAGGAGCCGCACCCGCCTCCCCGCCTTTAGTGCTTAACTCCCAGGAAGCTCCCCGGAAGTCCTGCATCTCTGCCTGGTCCTGCTTCACACCAGCCTCCTTCCCCGCTGCTTCATTGCTCTCCAGCTTTTTCCTTCTATTACAGTCGCCCTCCGCCCACCTCACCCCTCCCTACACTCACCAACAGCCTCCACTGCCAGGCTCAAAGACCAATCTGCTTTTCACTCCCTGTCTGGGCACTGGTGCCAGTGATGACCTGGTTCTTCCTGATGCTTTGGCTCCCCCTTTCTCCCTGTTCCATCTTGGTGTTCTCCCGACCACTCTTGCTCTGGGTGTCCCACAAATGCTGATGCTTACTTGGCTCCCAGTCTTCACCAGCTTTCACGCTCCCTGTCCACCCCCCACCTCCTTGGTCAACACCTCCTGATGACAAGCTCCACTCCAGACGCCTCAGCTAATCTCCAGACCTATATATTCACTACCTCTGGACATTGCCTCACAGCGGCACAGAGACCCTTACACTTGACTTCTAAATGGAATTTCCATTCATACACACCCCTCTGCCCCAATGCACTCAGCCACCTGCAGGCTACTGCAGATTACTCCTCTCACCCTCCACGCCCATCTGTGACCCAGTGGCACCACCCTGCACCCTAACCACTCTCAGATCTGGTTTGCTTTTTCCGCCCTACTGCTCCTCCCAAAGTTACCTGCTACCAGTCACCTGAGCCCTATCAGGAGGTGCCTCCCGTCTTCCCTCTAAATAGTTAAATACACCCCTGGGACTAGAAACCTTAAATCTGAGGACATAACTGAAGACTTGGCACACAGCTTCTGAACCACTGCCACTTTCTGCACTATCCAACAGGGAGCCAGGCAGACACCTGCTCAGATCCCCCCAAAGTGTATTTACCAAGTCTGGCTACTTAAACTAGTGTTCCCAGACCCCTGGACAGAGAGGAGGTCCTTGTCTACACAATAATTCCTGGAAACAAAGGTGCAGTATAGGATTTCACTCATTATTCTCACCCTGAAGTTCCACCACTGGTTATGGCATGGATAACACCATATAGCCCACCAGACTCATTTCAGATTCCTCCCAAGCACTGAGGAAAATTATTTCTCAAGCTCCTTGCAGTTATGCTGGGCCCATGTAAATAAGGCTCTGCCCTATAGACATAAGACACAATTTCATCACTCCCAACCCTGGCCACACCATCTCCTAAACAATTCTCCATGCTGGCTCTCCCTGTTCCTCACTGACACCAGATGACACAAGTTAAAGATGGCAGTGCCAAACCTGAGAGGAAGTTAGCTCCCTGAATTACTCTGGAGTAGAGTTCTTTCTCCCTCAGCTAAATGACCTTACTACATACAGCAACGGAGAGTTGGGTGTTTTTGTTATATCAGCTAGCATCACCTGCCCTGACTAACACCGCTGGCTGTGACATATGGGAATATTCTGATTCAGGCAGCATTTATGAAGCAGCTACTAATGGCAAGAACTATGTTAGGTGCTGTTTGCAACTGAGGGAGGGAGAATTCACCTGTTGGACCATGAGCTTCTCAAATTCCTCCACAATCTCAGGCAAGCTAAGCCACTTGACTCCCGGCAAAAGACTAAGGATTCGACTGCCCATTTTCATCAACAGCAGGTCCATTTGCACTTGGTGGAGCAGGCCAGGGTGCAACACCTGCCAGAGAGAGGAGGGGTAAGGTGGAGGAGGGGTGAGGACTCATTCACATGCCAGGACTGGGTGCCACCACCTAGGGCGAGCTGCTGACTTCCCATCAGAGCCAGGGGAAGTGGTCCCAAACCCCCAGGGTCTCCCTGGGTGGACTCCTAACTGCACTGCACTTAGCTTTACTGGCAAAAATAGGTGGGTCTTCTCTCCCAAATACATAAAGTTTAGATCAGTGACTCCCAAGCATTAGAATGCAGGAAAGGGGCCTCCCCGGTGCCCAGCGGTTGAGCGCTGGGTTGCGAAGCTGCCCGCGGTCTCTGCAGCGCCGGTTCGATCTCCGGCTGCTCCCCGGCCACGGGAGGACGGTCCCACATGGCGCGCAGACCTCTCCTGCCACCCGCTGCTCCCCTCAGCAGTGTACATCAGTCCTTCTGCCTGCTCCGCTCCCCGCTCTGGCTCTGGTGAATCCTCTCACCCTCCCGAGCTTCTGACTGTACCCAGTGCATGTATAAACAAACAAACAAATAAATAAATAAATAATGCGTGCCTCTTTAAAAAAATAAATAAATAAATAAATAAAAATTAAAAAAAAATAGAATGCAGGAAAGTCACCTCCTGGTGAACATGTGGGCATCAGGCCTCCTCCAAGACCTCCAGGTCACGCTCTCTGGGAGTGAGAGCGGGAGTGTGCCTTTTACTCAGCATACAAGGTAACTGTACCCAGGGCATCCAAAACTGGATAAACACGGCTCTGGAGCCACTGGCAGCCAGTAGGGATAACCTGGGATGAGATGGGAAGAGCTCTGGATTTCTGCAGTCTAGTTCTGCAGCTCATTCCCCACGAAGCAAACCTAATATGCATGCCTCCCCTCAAAGCCTTTTAAGACCAAAGTGGAGTAATTATAGAAATTGAAGCAATGCCCACCTCCCTGATGTGTCTGATATGGCTGGCACTTTCACAGTACAGAGCAGCCACACTGTCTTCCAAGAGGAGAACCCACTCCCAGAATGCTCTGGGCCAGAGTTTCCCAGTCATGCTTGACCAGGAGAATCTCGGGCAGCCTTTATAAAAAGGTTTACTTACTTTCACTGCCACAGGGATTCGATGACCAGGCCCCAGAGTGTGGGCAGATGCCCGCGATGTGCCAGCATTGGGTCCAACCACATCAGCTTTGGGGAGGAGCAACCTTTCTAGAAACGACTGGTCAGCAAGACTTCCTTGAGGCTTCCACCCACTCCCTGGGTGCCCAAAGAGCTCCCTCAGGCGTGCGGCTGCCTCCGCTTCCGAGGAAGGCCATAGACTGGTGGCCTTGGCGAGTCTCTGGATGCTGTCACCCTCCAGGAAAGCGGGGTTGGCCTGTGCTTTGTACACTTGGGCCACACAGCCCGAACCCACAGGTTCTCGAGTCTCGAAGCAGAGGACTTTCCCCCAGTCCTCCCCAAATGCCTGACGCAGGAAGTGTTCAGTGTGGATCCAACGATGGGGCGCAACCTGGACATGCAGTTTGGAGAACTGGGCACAGAACGCCTCAGAAAAGAGATCCCGCCGGGTGCTGGCCCACTGGCCTAGTTTGATGTACGTTGGGCCCGAGGACTCCGTGGCTTTCAGAAGCAGGTGGAGCCAGAGACTGGAGACGCTGGGAGCCAGGTAGGTGAAGGGGTAGAGTAAAAGGAGGGGGAAGAACTTCACCAGGAGAGTTCCAGCCCGCAGCCAGATCCGCAGGTGCAGAAGGAGGCAGCCGGGCCACCCCTCGCGGGAGGCTGCCTCCAGGGGCCCACCGTTGGCCAGGTCACTCCAGCTGGCCCTTGGCTGACACAAGCCGTCAGGCGCCCCCTCACCAGTGTCCCCACAGGCAGAGATGAGTTTGGGCAAAGTGCCAAGCAGAAGCCAACAGAGCCTGGCGTTGCGACAGCACCCGGGTCTGAGCAGGCCGAGCTCCTTCCTGAGCTCAAACCCCCTGAGGTGCCACAAGCAGACCCTCACCGAGAAGCGCCAGGGCGTCCCCATCCTCTCCCGGAGGCCCGGGCGGGCGCAGGCGGCTGGCCCGCGGACAGAGCAGCATCTAGGGCCACGCCTTCGGCAAGGCTGACAGGAGTCCCGGGAGTCCCCTGAGAAGTGGGCCCGCGGCTCCGGGGGACGCGGACACCCCGCCTTCCTCGTGCAGTCTGGGCGCGGGACGCCTGCCAGCCCCGCGGGCGCAGGGTCGGCCCGCACCCCACTCTCCCCAGAGCCCCACGCCCCTCGCTCCAGCACCCTCGCCTCGGCTCCGGGCCAGACCTTCAGGCCCCGCTGGCGCGAGCGCAGGGGCGGCCGGGCAGACGCGCCGCCGGCCGGGACGTGACCTGCGCGCGGGGGGCCGGGGCGGGAGGACGGGGCGGGGGGACCGGGCAGGCGCCCGCGGGGATCGCCGGGCGGGGGCAGGGGCGCGGGCCGGGCCGACCCCGGGGCCGGGCGGGAAGGAGGGGGGGCCAGAAGGGGCGCGGGGTCGGCGCGGGGCCGGCGCGGGGGGCCGGCGGGAGGCCGAGCCGCGGCGGGGTGGCCGGGCTCCGGCCACAGGCCGAGGGGCCGAGGACTTGGGGGGCCGGGGCGCCCAGGGCCGGGAGGCGGAGCGGACACTGGGGGATCCAGGTGCGGACAGCGGGGGTCGGGGCGCGGAGGGCCGGAGGGGGCTGCGCGGGGGCCAAGCGTAGAGGGTCGGGGGTCGGGGCGCGGGGGCCGGGGCCGGGGGACCTGCGCGGAGCCGGGGGACCTGCGCGGAGCGGGGAACCTGCGCGGAGCCGGGGGACCTGCGCGGAGCCGTCTTCCGGGAGCGCCCCGCGGCGCGGGGGGGGCCGCCCCTTAAAGCGGACGCGGCGCTGGCCCAGACCGCGGGTCCCGGGTGCCAGACACAGACTTGACGCAAAGGGCGAAGGCGCCCGGCCCTCCTGCGGCGGCCCGGGCCCTCGGCTCCTCCACCCCTGCCCCCCAGCACCCCCCACCCCCCACCCCCGCCCCGGCCGGCGAGCGTTGCGAGGAGCTGGAAACGCCCGGCGAACCCAGAGCCGGTTCTGACCTCGGGCCGTTTCACCTGCGCCTCGGGCCGCGGAGTCCCGGACGCCCCGGTTTGGGGACCGCGTTCGGGTCCTGGGGCGCGGCCCCGGATCGGCCGTGTCCCTTCATCTAAAACTTATTGCGCCCAAAACACATTATAAATCTGAACCCAGTCATTCTTGAGCTCCGAGATGAGCAGGAGGAACCCCGAGGGGCGGCTGGAGCCCCGGGGGTGGTTCACGCGCCAAGGACGAAGCGCTGACAGAGTCCAGGTGAGGCTGTTTGCTTGACCTCGAAGGTCAGATGGCCTCTGAGAGGAGCGGGAGAGAAAACCGCCCTGGCACGCAGCCGTCTGCTCTGCCCTTGGGCTGCCCGAGGCCGCCTGCCCGGGGCCGCAGCCGCCTCTGCTGGGAAAATCCTCCCCGCGTGGGGCGCGGCCGCCCGGCGGTCAGGGCGGGGGGTGGGTCTGCAGGGGGCGCGAGGGAGACCGGACGACAATGGCCCGCGTGTGGGGTTCTGCACACCCCGGGGCCTCTGTGTGTCACTCAGCAGCCTCCAGGAGTGCCCCCAAATGTGGGGACATGGGCGGCCCTACAGAGGAAAGGGGGTGCCCAGTGGCTGCTCCTGTGGTGTTAACTAATCGTTTCCCTGTCCACAGACGCTGCAGGTCCCAAGGCAGAAGCCAGGCTTGCTACCGCTGCCTTCAAATATGACCAGCCAGGAGTTATCCCCTCTCCTGCCTCCTGACTGACTTTCCCACTCTGTCCCAAAGGTGTGTAGAATATTCCTGTAGGCCGCTGATGCACCAAAGGGCTTAATGAGAACTTCATTGGAAACCAGAGCTCCTGGGGTCTAGCCAGCCATTAGGAGGTGACAAAGGCCCCTCAGATGAGTCTCTCTGGGCCTCTTTCTCCCTAGGGAGTTGGGAGCTACACAAATCCTCCAGACTGACATTGAGGATTCTGGCAGTTAACATAGTTAAGAGCAGCATTTGGGTGCTAAATCAGCCTGGCATTAGTGCCAGGCACGGTGGGACCTCTGTCCCATTGGGGACAAATCTCTAGAAGGTGCCATTCCTCACGCACGCCAGCTGGAGGTAAGTGATCGCTCTCACCGCTGCTGAAAGCATCCAGCGTGTGACCTAGTTAGCACCAGATGTCCATCAAATATATCATCCAGGGAAATAAACCTTCGGTTTCTCTTACATTTGTTAGAGATTTTCACGTATTTGGAGGCTACACTGCGGAAGTTCTGGTTAAGGCTTTCGTGGCATCCTGGAAATTCACCTAAAGCAGCAGCTTTCAAACTTTAGCATCCACCCCAATCACCTGCAGGCTGATTGCCGCGGACCAGCACAGCGATGGACGATGAGGCCGTCTCAGGGTTGAGAGATTGCGGGTGCAGCACTGATCATCCCTAGATTCTGCAGGTCTGTAGTGGAGGCCAGAATTGACCTTTCAAAGGTTCCGTCTGCTGTTGCTGTGGCTGGCCCTTGAGATTTTGACCTTGTGGTCGTGGTGATGGTAGAGTTGGAGTTGGAGGCGGTGATGGTGGTGGTGAGGGTGGAGGTAATGTTGCGGTGCAGGTCATGGTGGTGATGGTGGTGGAAGATGCTGCACCTCGAGGAATTATAATCACCCAAGCAGGCAAAGTTGAGAGGTTATTGGCGCCCACGTGAATGTCAGTTCAGAGAATGGTGTTTTACATATTAAGGGACCACTGATTTTGATTAAGCAAAATCAATGATACATCAAATGTGAACCCTAAATTAAAATTTATAAGGGCAGCCTTTAAAAATCACAGATGTTGGGCCTCCCCGGTGGCACAGCAGTTGAGCGCTGGGTTGCCAAGCTGACCGCAGCCTCTGCAGCGCAGGTTCGATCCCCGGCTGCTCCCCGGCCACAGGGTGAGGGTCCCACATGGCGCGCAGACCTCTCCTGCCGCCCGCTGCTCCCCTCAGCAGTGTACTTCGGTCCCTCTGCCTGCTCTGCTCCCTGCTCTGGTTCTGGTGAATTCTCTCACCCTCCCGCACTTCTGACTGTACCCAGTGCTTGTATAAATAAATAAATAAATCTTAAAAAAAAAAATCACAGATGTTGATTTCCACTCAAGCTCCTTCTCGGCAGTCACTGTAATTTGTTTCAGGATTACTAACAGCAGGAATGTACTGAGAATGATTAATGAATTGAGAGGCTGAATAGGCAGACACGGGCCCAGCCATTTGTGACGGGAGAACTCTGACCCAATGCCTCTGTAGCTACCAGCATGGCCAGGACTTAGTCAATATTACCAGCTTCTCTAATTTTCACCCCCACTTCCCAGTCAGAAATATCCAGAGAAATCAAATATGCTCTCCAAGTCACATAAGATGCTCCAGCCTCCAGTTTCCCAGGGCCAGCACTTGTGAAGCTTTTTCTTTCTTCTCTAGAAATTTTCCCATCAGTGTTTGAGTCTCCACTCATATTTGAGTCTCTGCCAAATACAACTGACGTTGGATGGCTCCCTTGCTATGGAAGGCTCTGAGTAAATAGTTCTGTTTGTTCTCATTTGGGTGGTCTTCCAGACCATTCAGGGGTAAGCCAGCTCCTTCAGTAGCTTGGAATGGTTCTGCCAGTGTGGTTAATTGTAGTGCCACTAGGTGGCACCATCGACTTGTGAAGTGTCATGAAAGCGAGCCCTGGGGTCCTGACTGCCTGGGAAGGAGCTGGTCACCATGGGGGGGAGAGGGGTGAGGGGAGATGCAAAGACGCATCTGTCTTTTTTTTTTTTTTTAGATTTTAATTTTATTTATTTATTTATTTATGCACACAAGAACAGGGGTACAGGCCAGAGGTGTGGGGGGTGGGGGGGTGAGAGGATTCACCAGAGACAGAGTGGGGAGCAGAACAGGCAGATCCACTGAAATACACTGCTGAGGGGAGCAGCGGGGAGACAGGAGAGGTCTGCTGCACAGTGTGGGTAGCTCCCTGGCTGGGGATTGACTCTTGCGGCAGTGGCTGCAGGTAGCTTCATAGTGCTGTGACTTAACCTTGTGCCACCAGGGAGGCCCTTTTCTGTCTTTTCACAGGAACCAAATGGCTGGCGGTAGCCTTTGCCTTGTCCCACTGTCCACCGCTGGGTGATGTAGGCAAGATCCAGAGAAGTGGGGGGGGGGAGGCGGGGAACTGACTGGCTCTGGGCTTCTCTCAACCTCTGCACTTTTGACATTTGGGACAGGACAATTCCTTGCTGCGTGTCAGGGGTCAGCCAGGGGAGGAGAGGTTATCCCGTGCATTGCAGGATGTCTAGCAGCACCTCTGGCCTCTGCCCACTCCAGGTCAGAAATACCCACCTGTCACACACTGTGCCTTTAAAATGTCTTCCAACATTGCCAGACGTCTCCTGGGGGAGAAAGTTGTTCCTGACTGAGAACCCCGGGCTTGGCTTTTATGGAGGTCAGCTTTCTGCTGAGACACACACACTCTCTTTCTTCAGAACCAGATATCGAGAAACACCCCTACACACGCCTGCTGTGGCCTCCCCTTCTCTGTCCACCTTGAGTGGGCTCCACACCAGTGTCTCCAGGGGGAACTTGGGCCACACCCTGGGGTGCTTGTATACTGCAGATTCCCTGGGCCCCATCCCAGCCCCTGCATCAGCATCCCTGTGGGAAGACTGGGATCTGCTTTCTTCCCTACAAGTCCAAGGGAATCATCAGGCAAGTCAAGAAGTGAATCCGGGGCCTCCCCGCTGGTGCAGCAGGTTGAGTGCAGTGCTGTGAAACTGTTCGCAGCCTCTGCAGCACGGGTTCGATTCCCGGCCGGCCAGGGACATGCCCACATGGCACGGCAGACCTCTCCGGTCTCTCCCGCTGCTCCCCTCAGCAGTGTATTTTAGTCAGTCTGCCGGTTCTGTTCCCTGCTATGTCTCTGGTGAATCCTCTCACCCTCCCACACATCTGGCCTGTACCCCAGTTCTTGTATGCATGAATAAATCTTTTTTAAAAAAAAAAATGTGAATCCGGCCCAACTCCCAGGTGCTTCTGACCTGCAATTAGCTCCAAGGATCCTGCACCAACATTCTGATTCTGAGCCACCCACATCCTTCTACTCCCCAAGCC